GTCACTGGAAGGTATAAACATATGTTATCAAGCGTAGTGATAGTTTATTGATGGGTATATTCATCTTCTTCTAACCTTGACGGACCGCCCCTTTGGTCTAGTGGTCAGATTTCGTGGCTACAGATCCAGAGGTACCGGGTTCGATTCCCGGCGCTACAAGATTTTCTGAGAAGCAGTGGGTCTGGAACGGTGTCCACTCAGCCTCATGAGGATAATTGAGGAGCTACTTCAAGGAAATAGCGGCTCAGGTCTAGAAAACCGAGATTAACGGCTGTGGGCATACGTTACGCCGACCACGCGACACCCTCTATCCGCTAAAGTTGGCACTAACTTCGCCGACAAGCGGCGTTCGCTCGTTCGGTATAGTTTGCTTGCGGACTGAAGCCACTTAGCCTAACCCGTCAAGGTAGAAACTATCTGGCATGTTTCCGTTCTGACTTAGTTCCGAAATTACGAAGGGTATATTTTACTAAGTTCCTGTGTAGAAGCAGGTTAGAATACTTCCACCACAGCCCTGGGAGTCGTAAAAGGCGAAGAAAAGGGATCCCGGTGCCTGGTATAACTTGAAATAGCTCCTGAGTTATCCTCACGAGGCTGAGTGGACCCCGTTCCAGATCCACTACTTCTCAGAAAATCTGGTAGCACCGGGAATCGAACCCGGGACCTCTGGATCTGTAGCCAGGAACACTGACCACTACACCACAGAGACGATACTGAAAACGGCGTTAAGTAGCCCGGGTGAGCTGTCGTATACATGCATTCACGTGGGGACCGCGCGATAAGCCAATGTGCCAATGCTTGTGAGGGTTAGAAGTGTGTTCGTAAGGACAGTCAGGTTTTCTGATAGTCTTAACGTTTTCCTTCGTACCTGTACTGACGAGAATCCGCGTGACAAAGTTACAGGTACTTCCGCGCCATCACACGTTGTTGGAGGATACAACCAAGGTCTGTAAAGTTTGATTCCCTCATTACCACGTGTTCATTCGTAGTTCTGTTGGACTCAGTAACTCGTGACGACTCATGTTAATTTTTTACTGGGGCGTCATTTTAGCAAACTCCGAGAAGAGTCTACCAGGTACACTGCAGTCAAAGCAGTTTAAATAACTTCGACCTTCCAAATCTATAGAGGGTTGATCCGTCGTACAAGATAAATAGGCAAGAGAGTTCAGTATCGCCCTAGCGTTCAGACCGACTCTGGAGCCCATTGGATACCGGCAGTATGGGCTCCAGCGCCGGTCTGAACGCTGTGGAGAAGAGAAGAATCTTTCCTCTACCGGGAATCGAACCCCAGCCGTCCAACTTGTCACTATATCGTCTTAAGTATCCCGACTCCTGCCAGACTGTAAACTAATGTTAAAGTAAGGTTCATTTCTCAGTTCGCATCCGTTCAAGGACATAATCCTTGCGCTCACAATCGTTTCACTTTGCTTCGGATGTATCGGCCTACCCGCACTCGTCGTTGCCCTCTGTGATCAAGTAAGAATATGTCTTCGCCTCTGGCTGCTTGTCGAAACTTGTAATCAGGAGAACCAGTTCCAGTCCGATCCAAGGCCGGACGTTCGATCCACAATAAATAAAATCGCTATTTATAATACCGGAGCATGCAAGTAATACTCAACTTAAATGCTCATGTAGAAAGAAATCCCTTCTTTTAAGATTATTGTTTTATGAGGTGTGATACCATATAATTTGATAAGTGGGCACCAACGTTAAGAGAGGGGTTTGGCCGAAACGTTGGTGCATGTCTACCAAACTATGTACACTGCGCCACATGGCATTCGCTTTTTAGAAAAGTCTGCTACTAGTCCGTACCGTTGACAAATTGGATTCATTCTGTACCGTGACATCATGGTCCTTTGAGGTCCATTTTAATATTTTTCTCCCATCTAAGCCTAGTCCTCAAAAATGGTCTCTTTCCTTTACGGTTTTAGTAGATTGAAATGCTATTGAATTTTTCATGTCCCTCTCTCAGTTACTTTAAGCCCGGGGCCACACGAGCGCACAAAATGCGTCCGTTGTAACGAATGTCGTGACGTCCGTTGTAGAAATAAACGAGAGAGGCGGATGGTACGCTTTCTTCTGGCTCCATTGCAGATAAAAACTACGCACCGCATTCTGCAACTGTGTGGTGTCCTCAGCAACGTCCGCCATAAAGTACGTTCGTTGCAACGGACATACTTCGTGCGGCCCCAGCCTTAATGGATCACCTAACAATGTTTGGCGAAGAGTACAAATTATAAAAAATTCTTACGCAGTGTTCTAAGATGGATAAATATATCGATTAACTCCACAGATGCAAGAACCGAAGATGACTTCCAGCAATCGAGAAAATGTTTCAGATGCAAATCGGGGCGTCCGTTGTTTTCCATGTTTTTCCACCATGTACAGAAATGACGCATTTCCTGCCACAGTGACACTGATTTCAACTTAACGGAAAATGTTTTGGATGAGGAAAAAAATATTATCTTGGCAAACATAAAACTTTAAGTGGAAAACGACATGAAACTTGAAGTGATTGTACCGCTTATCTTCATTTATCTTGCTAGGTATTGAACATAAATATATAACACGTGTTTGACTTAACACACGAAGATTTGGAACCGAAAACGAACAAGAGCTCTTGGAAGAACAAAACGCCTACTTCCCTTTCACTGCAGTTTGAGTATTTGATACAAAAGAGGTGGGGGCTCATATGTGTGCCTAATGAAAGCAGTAAGACTTAGCAGGCCCACACTGATTTTACCTCACAGTCCTGTTACTGACACCTTGTCTGATATTTATGTGAAAGGAGTCAGTCTGGACAGGCTATGCTGATGGTTTTACATGTTCTTTGCACAGAATTAATTAAATGAACACACAGTTGGAAAGTTGCATCTGTTTAAGTCCCTTATTACCTCAGTAACTACTGAATCAGTTGATCTCTTCTTTTATCTTCTGTTGTTTCCCTACAACTGCTGTGTTCTCCTGAATACGGATAAACCTTTGTCTTATGAAGGTTTTCTAGAAAAATATAGTACAAGAATAACCGGGTAAAGTATAGAAGGATTCAAGAGGCCTTCTCTGTGGGAAAAGTGAGTCCCTCATGCACTCCCAAATTAGGTCATTATTCACCAAGTTGATTATAGTTGCAAAACCTGAAGTCATGTTCGAGATTCAAACCTTGAGCATCTCAAATACGAACCAGGAACGTCAGCTACCCAACCTCAAAGTTCCATAAACATGGTGGACATGAGTTGTCTATGAATAGTGGATTATGAAGGCAGGGAAAGGAAATGGTCATGATTTATTTTTATGGTACTGTTAGGGCATTCACTTGAAAAAATCTGGAAATATATCACATAAGTTGTTAATTGCAGGTCTTGAGATGTTATGAAGGACTTGCCTGAAGATTACTATTTTCTAGGCTGGGGGAAAATGAGTCTCTTTTACCTAGAAAATGTAGATGTAGTGTTGGTACCTGTCTACCAAAGAACACGACAGCACATCCCAGAAAACAGCCAGCTTCAAAATCATTGTGATGAGAATCTAATATTTCACAAAAGACATGCCTGGGTGCAGAAGAAAAACCTCTGTAAGATTTGAGGCTTTCACGGCGGTGACTATGAAGAAAGCAGTCTTCTGGGATTTGGCACCGTGTATATGTGGTGCAGACTGTGCAGACAGTCTGCTTTTACCGGTTCTCACAGTCTCTTCGCTTGCAGATTTCTTATATTTTTCTTCTACCCTGAAGATGGAGGCGATACGTTCCTCCGAAACGTCGGTTAACACCACATATACACAGTGCCAAATCCCAGAAGACTGCTTTCTTCAAGAAAAACCTCGTCATATACCACAGAGTTATACATCAGGGACTTAAAGCATCGTGGCATGATTGATGTTTAAAAATACCAGCTGTATCTTCTGCTCAGTAGATCTTAGAATTTAGTCTCAAGGTCAGATGAGCATTTCTCAAAGGCAGATCGGGAAAAATATTGTAAAGTGATGAATATACTCATATTGAGTTCTTCTGTTCATTCAAGCTTATATGGTTCATAGGATTTGTATAATTAGTTATGTATACTGTCAGCTGATAAAGGAAACATGAATTTGTGTGATAGAATTGCAGCTTTTGTTGCGGTTGTTGGAATTCCCAGCAAGGTTTGGGGAATCTTTGTTTTCACCGCATGCCAAAAATGGGTGTGAGCACCTCTTTAGCCTTCAATGAAATAGATACATGAGATTCCTAGTCCAGATAATGTCCGCAGAAACGTGAAACTGATGTCATTAACTGATATCACGGATGTGAGGTGTTGCCTTTTATTTTCCTCAGTAACATCAAAAGCTTAGGCCATGCCATAGCTCAGGCGGTTAGTCGCCGGCTTCTCACCGCGGCCTAGGTCAGGCCATGTTGAATTTGTGGTGAACAAAGTGGCACTTGGGCAGATTTTGTCTGAGTATTTCGATTTCTTCTGCCAATTCTCATTCCACCACATGCTCCACATTCATCATCATCATCATCATCATCATCTGTCATCTGGGTCTAGACCAATTAGTGGCCGAAGTACCATGTGGACTTAGTCTCTCACCAAACCAAGAAATTGAAAAAAAAAAAAAAAAAAGCATTAGTAGCTTTACTCTGTACACAAAATATTCGTACATACATTTTTTCAAGTGCTTGTAATAGAGTAATGTTTCCATCCCACCAGTGGTAAAGATGCAGCCACAGTGATTGACCCTGATTTTTATAAAACGTAAAATTAAAGACACTTCGCTAACAAGTGTTCAATTAGATTGTGGTTTTCAGGATTATGACAACATGTACTGTCATATGTGGGTGCCTATGTTTCCAGAGGAATCAACTGCTTCCATCCTTCAGCCCAAATTCGAGGTTACAATTACCTCGGTGATTACCTACACAGTTGCATAATCCAGAAGACCACAGTCTAAATTTTGACCCCCAACTCAGCAGTTTTTGCACAATGCAGGCTTGTTCGCTAATATTTGCCGTGTTTTCTTTACAGATGTACAGTGCGTGATATCAAGCCAAGTGCCATATACCTTGGAGGCATTTTGGGGTGTCTCCATTCGAGAGTTGCATCTCTCTCTCTGGCGACCATGGAGTGTGGTGGAGGGACAGATGAAGCAAGGAACAATCCTCAAGGGTCACTACCAACACAAGGGGACTACCTTACAGTATCCTTTATATACCTAACAGTTTAGTTTCAAGCTCTTCACTTTGAGGGAAGTACATTCATTCCAAATTTGACATGGTTGCTCAGGAAAATATAATTACCTGCATTTAATTAAACTGTTAACAAGGTCTTACATAATGCAAAACTTCATAATTTAAACAACCCATCCAGTATTGTTATATTCACTGCTGTTAGAACCCTGAATCTCACGCAGTTATCCTCAGGAGAAGCTACTGTACACATCTGTAAATTCAAATCCCTCTTAGCCAAGAAAGACAAGCTGCTGAGGTTCATCTTAACTGAGATACATCTTCATACCCTGAAGATGGAAGCAGCCTGTTCCTCCAAGATGTTGATATGTGTCTACCAAGTTGCATGGTGTTATATCAAAGAAGGTTGTAATCTTGAAGCTTAAGTTGTTTACAATATGTGTTGCTCTACACCACGGTAAGAAGAGGACTGTACTATAGTGTTCTCAAGTACCTAAATAAAGCAGATGGTCTGATCACTATCCTAGCAGGATGAAGTGAGGAGTGTGTAACTGGGAGACTAAGCGGCCTCTGTAGTCTAGGGGTAACATTCCCACCTCATGGCTCAAGGTACGCAGGTTCAAACCTGGCTGAGGTCGTGGAATTTTTAAGGGCGGAAAAATTCAGTGAGCAAGTCCTCCTGGAGGGACTTTAAGCCATGGGTCCTGTGTCGTAGATTTACGGCACATAAAAGATTCTCATGCCTCCGGTAGATGGGGGAAGTATCAGGTACCACTGCCAGCCTTGCTGGCTGGACAGGGCTGATAGCAAGCACCAGTACCGGCAGGGTATGGCGACTGGTAGAATATCAAAGGGGGACATACAATAGACTATTAGTCGCGGTGCATGGGGAAACCCACCCCCTCCAATAATAATAATAATAACTGGGAGACTGCGTACTCTGTTCTGACTATTATTACAGCAAATCTCCACTAATCCGGATTAAGTGGGGGGAGGTCATCCAGATTAGTGAAGCAAAAGATAGCCCTAAAGATAAAAAACTTAAAAAACAAATAAATGGAAAATAATACAGGTGGTGCTGATGAAAATAAATAAAAAATATTGCCATAGAACCTTTATTTAAAAACTATAAAAAGACTAGAACCTGAAATCCAGGCTCCTTAATCCAGCTCAAGCCAATCTTGGATATTTTCTTGCATGGTTTAAGTCTCTCCAGCTGCCCTCATCACAGCCTGAAAGTCCTCTTGCTTCTAAATCCCATGTGTCTTTTAAATTTTGTACTCAACTGGACAGAATTTTTCGTTATTCATATTTTCAGATTATTTGACATCCAGATTAGTGAGGGTTTACTGTATTACATTAAAATGTAGAAGCCACTTCAGAAGTATTTTCGAATATTAGTTTTTCATGACCATATATCACACATACAGCTTATGCATCATTTAGCGACATGATGAATAATGAATGAAGAATTGGTAGGAGTGTGGAATGAAACAGCCCCTGCCTATTTTGAGATACTCTGTTTGCATGGTAGGACTGAGGAAAACATGGTTTCTGTAAGATTTGAGGTTGTTGCAGTGAAGATTCATATTGTTATCTTCATGTGTGATAACACCATGTAATCTGGTATATGGGTACTGATGTTTCAGAGGAACAAACTAGCTCCATCTTCAGGTCAGATGGAAGCAGTATGTTCCTCCATAATGCTGGTACCCAGCTACCAGAGTACATGGTATCATAAGGACCACAGTATGACAGAAGAACTCACGCACAATTTCCACTCTGAAGGCTGCTATTGGAACTCAGAAAGATCCATGAATACAGTGTAGGTGTTCTCACTGCTATGCTGCCTTCTTCAGGTTGGTCACAGGTAGTGTAGTCATTGTCTGTATGAAAGTTCCTTGACTTACAGCACAGCAAAACTCCTCATGGAGAAGACGTATTCACTTTGTTCCTTCCCCAGCCAGCGCTAGAGCTGGGCACACCTCCTCGGCTTTGCTATCCTCTTGTTATCTTCCTGATCAGGAACGAAGGACGCACCATGCATCCAGATGAAACGGTGAGCTCCATCTCTTCACAGTGTGTGATATTAAAATCTGAGAAATTGGGTGTCTCATTCCTTGGCATGCACCAAATTTTGTGCTCTTAAAGATCCACCTACTTTATATTCATACTTTGCCCTTGAATTATCTGGAGAATTCATACACCTCATTATCCTTATCTTCAGTTAGGAATATGATAATGTGGAGCAAGAGATCAATCTAGAGGAAATCCGTGTACCAGTAAAACAGCCTTCTCAGGTAAGGTGGAGCTGCTTTTGAGGGAGTTAATGTGCGTAGTGCTCATACAAAAAGTGGACATTTGTCTGCCACATATATTGTGATGCATAGACCCATTGCTAGGCAACAACTGTGAGACCAACGATACAACAGCCGTTGCTGGGCAGTGGCAACCATGCCAATGGACTGACTAGAAAGCGGCGTTTTCTGCAGGATCCACGCCAGTGGCTGTGCACATAATAGTGGATACATCAGTGAGGAGCGGTGTTTTCTACGCGGTCTGCACAGAAGGGTTATGAGCGGCCGAGGCTAAATGAAAAATGTAATAATGTGAATTAGCAGTCACAAAACTAATGCCCATGTCAAATTTACCAGTGAATTATAAGGCTTAATTGGGACCATTCAAGAAGTGAAACTGAAATGTAGAACAACCCCATCTTTCCACTGTTGTATGTTATGGAGTTAAAACTCCACAGTTTAGTAATGTTCGTAAAGAAAGATACATGAAGTCATAGAATAATTTAAATGTGCATGCATGCGTCCATCATATGAAGACATGCATGAAACCGTGTTACTATTTTGAGTTGACACAGCACCGTCAGGGCAACAGAACATGCATACAAAATTTTGTCAGTACAAGGACTAGGGATGAAAATGAACAAAGTGAGATAATGAATGTGAAAATAAGAAGATACAAAACAATAGATGTATCTCAGTATCACTGGGTTTCTGTATTCTGTGCATCTTGATCCTTGGTACTTAATTGTGATTGGCTGTTTCTAATGGACCCAAATAAATGTCTCCCTAACTTTTCACCTGAAGATGGAAACAGATTGTGTTTCCAAAATATTTTCTGTTCAGAAAACTAAACAATGGACGCGGTAGCATAGTTGATCGAGGCACTGTGCTACAAGCCGGAAGGTCACAGGATCAAGTCCCAATGAGGTGGATTTTTTTTTCAATTTACCTATTCCTTCCCGCCACGCTATGGCCCTGGGGTTGACTCAGCCTCTAGCAGAATTGAATACCAGAAATCTTGGGGGTAAAGGGCGGCTAGTGTATAAGACTGACAGCCTCACCGCCGTCTGTGAGCGAATTGTCTGGAGAAAATGTGGGAGCCTTGATGTCTCACAACCCTATGGGCCTTCACGGCCTGTTACAGGGATAGCTTTACCTTTATGGACAAAGTCCAGAAATCTAGTCCTAAGTGTGATGTACCATTCTCAGAACCCTTTCATGAGAAATATATCTCTGAAATGTTTAATGATAACTGACATATGTTTCAGGTTGCCCTGGTAAATGTGGTCCATATTAAGGACTCTGTGTGCACTTTGCCAACAAGTATCCTCGCACAGTACTTGAAGCAAGCCAATGGACAGCTGTCTTGTCTGAAGGTATGAATTTGTCTGGATTTTGTGGGGGAAAATTAAACTAAATAATAAATTGCTGAAGAGTTTATTACATTTGTTTTGCTATACTCCTAGACCAGAATAATCTACCTCATTTCATAGATCTTGAACGTTCATAACACAGTTGAATTAATACAGTGATACATACATCATTTTATATGCTGTGTTAGTTTCCTAATAGTGGAGAAAGGTATGGATTTGGTGGTGGTGATGTAGAACTGTGGAGGAAGCTGGGATAAAAATATGGATGTTGGGTTGTTGAGGAGCTCAGGAAGGAGGAGAGGTGAGAGATTGTTTGGAGAAGTTGAAGTAATGGTAAATAACTTGGTTTATGCGGGAAGTGAGAATAATGAATAAGGGTGAAGAAATAGAATAAAAAAGAATTGGTGGGTTGAAGGAATGAAAGGAGAGGTGAGGAAGACACTGGGGTGTGTAGCAATGGGGCAGAGGCAGAAGAGGGGAACAGTGGAAAGAAGATTGCTTAGGTTAGAAGGCGGAAGAGAGGTGAAACTGAGGAAAATTGATGCACAGGAGGGGGAGGGAGTCAGTAGGCTCTGTGAGATGGGAAACAGCAGCAAGGAATAGGGAGTAAAGGAGGGAAGCGTTGCTAATGCTGGGGTGGCAGCACCATTCCTCTGTTGTGTGCTGATAGTGTGATAGTGTATGTTCTTCCAGCAATTATACCTGGCCACTGGAAATCCCCTTAATTATGAAGATGAACCATCAATGTCACTTGGGATACGAGAAAACTGCAGCACAAGTGAGAATGGGAGAATGCCACAAGGGGCTTCAACAACCTTGCTGTGCACAACAACCTCTGATGAAGATGGTGGATCTGTGTGGAATGCTGCAGGAGAACAGCTGTGTGTTGTTTGCCAATATTTCCCTTTGTCACGAGCTCTCCTGCCCTGTCGACATACCTGCATCTGTGCCAGTTGTTTTGGCAAGCTTGACAGATGCCCCATGTGTCGAAGCCCCATTAGGAGTTACTTTTGCATCAGAGGAGAGGAGTATATGCCCACAGAACCCGGGTCAGCGGCTTCTAAGCCACCACCCATCTTCCGTTGGTTTCAGGACTGGAATGATAGACTTACAGATTTTCTTGGCTTTCATCGGTAAAATTGTGGAAGAAAATCCTTATATATGAGTGAAAAAGGGCCAGGAAATATTTCCAGTTGCTTAAAGACAGACTTATACAAACAGTTTCCCATTGTGATGTAATTAGTCTCACAACCCTGAGATGGACAGAAAGTACAATGGACAGAAAGTACAAGAGTCTTAAACATCCAAAACTGTTCTTTTTTTATTTGAATAGGAAGTATATTTGAAGAACTTCACTTAGTGATAAGTATTTATAACAAATCTGAACTAGATTTAGGTACTTGTAGCTGTGAAACATGTACACAGCATTAATGAGGACGCACTCTGTTGTATTTAACGTGTATTTATTCCAGACTTTAATGTGGAAATATGAGAGTTACCAGTCCCACTTACATGGTGATTTACTCATACTAAATGTTTCCTGTGTGGAGGTAAGTTGTTTCAGAGTTACGAAGAATCATATTTTGAACGTAAACAATACTCTGATTTTAATTTTTAGACTATCTAAAGTGTATATTTTATTTCCGTATCACTGAATTGAATAATATAATTTCTGTTAGATAGACCATGAAAGGCCTCAGTATTATTTGAAGATATTTTTCTGCTAACACATCCCCACCCCCACCCCACACACAGACACAAATTTAAATAATGTCTGAACCAAATAACTAATTTACTCTCACTTTAATACTGAATTTATTAACTGTTGCCCCACTTGGCCTAAAATCCTGAAACTAATCATGATGCTGAACCAGATGTTAGATATGCTACCGGCTGTGTTCTCAGACTTTCATATTTTTCTTCACATTGGTGCGTCTTGCTGTGCAGTCAGGATACACTATACATATTCACACTACTTGCTTTTTTCTTTATTCTAAAATCTGTTTGGAATCATGTTTCAGACAAATTTGCTATTAAAAATGAGGATTACAATACATTCCTTACCTTCTGTAGCCTTCACTTAATTACGTTTCTGCACGTCTGACAGTAATTAGAAATGTTTCTTCTGTCATTCCTTTGTGTTCATAGCCCATCTTAATATCGAGTTCACCATACAGACACATCTCATCTTAAATCTCATGAGTTACTGGCTGTAACAAATAAATGTGTATAATAAAATATTTGACATTGTATTCTATAGGAAATTTAAATATTTAGTAAACAGAGATAACTTAAAGCCAAGTTAGAAAAAGCAGTTCCTTGCTGTTTAATTAAGGGTTCTTGATGTAAAATTTGTGAAAAATCCAGTCATCAAACACATCACTCATTTTAAGTAGCAGACAAACTTTATGCTTCACATAAAAAATGTGGTAATATTTCAAAACATTTCATTCTAAAATTAATTTTACAAGTCATATCCAAGTCAGAAATTTGAGGGTTGTATGTATTAAGGTGAGCCAGCATAGTGCAGTTGGTATAGCGACTGACTGTGGGCTGGACAACCAAGGGGCCGGAGTTCTAGTCGTGGTGGGGGTAAGAACTTTCACTTCCCCACGTTGTTCAGACCGGCTCTGGGGCCCAACCAGCTTCCTATCCAGTGGGTACGGGAGGCTCTTTTCCCAGGGGTAAAGCAGCCAGGGCATGAAGCTGACCACTCACATCCAACTAGTGCCAAGGTCAAGAAAACATGTCTATGCATTCATTCCCCCATACACCATCATGGCATGGTGCTTAATTAGTTAAGCACAGGGATAACTTTACCTTTACCAATGTAACATTTTGTAACATATTAGTTTTTAACAGTGAAAGGTTATTAGTGCCCCACCCAGACTCTAGGTTCATATACAATCTAGCATCAGCTGTATGAAGTGCTTTTCCAGTATATCAAACTGTAATCAAGGTTCCATATTCCTCTTTCAAAGATTTCTTCAGTTTGGGATATTTAGTTTTTAAGTGTTGCATTTCTGTACTTTAATACAGTTTGCATAATACAACTGAAAACTAAAACAGTAACAGTTACTTAAGGCTAAAGAATATAGTGTGGAGTGCTGTATCATTAAAAACTGAAATTTTTGAAGGCCATAGGAATTCACATTAATATTTCAACACATAACAAGTTTGCAAAAATATACATGGTGTAACAATTCTGGAATATTGGCTCACTTTTGTTTAAATATCTCAAAAATGGTAAGACATAAAGATAACATGGTACTGTAATTTGTTTTCTTTTTTTCTCTTTTTATTTATTTAATTAAAAGCATATTTACAATCTACTCTCAATAATACGGAGTAATAAGTAAATTTGTTCTAAGTAGGTGTCTTGAGTAGAGAGTGTCTAATTTCTGTCTGCAGCTTTTGTTCAAGACAGGTTTCACCATGATAAATATTTAACAAAGGCCAACACCACTGCAGGACCACATGTTGGTCCTCATATATTGTGTGATTTTTGTTCGCTTTCAACCACAATTGAAATGTACAGACAAGTATTACTAAAACTACCCATTATCAAATGTCATGAAAATGCTTTCAACGGTTGTCAGTTTGTTTCATGCGTGCAGGTGGACTGATGAATGGAGCTGTTGTGATAGGTGCTCTGCCAGGATGTGAATGCACCTGCAACCAATCTAAAACTCTATAATTCTAACTGCTTAAGGTGATTTAAGTTCTTGTGAACAATTTAAAATAATATTTATCATATGACCTTTATAACTGTGTCTTTTCTTCCATTGTAGCAATTTATTTATCTATAAGATGTGAGGTTTGGGGTTCTCATGGCAGTGACTATGAAGAATGCTGCCTTTCAGGATATTGTGATGCATACCCATTGCTAGACAACAGCCCGGTAAACACCTTCCTACTTAAGCATGTGACAACAATAGGGAGGCCATTGCTAAGCAATCACATGGTAAACAGGCTTCGTCAACAATACAGACTGTGTCTTCTGTTGGGTCTGTGCAAAATGGTTAAAAGAGAAGTGAATTCTGAAGCTGGCAGTAGTTTTAGGAGTACAGAACAGTAGTCAGAAGAGAATTGGGTCAAGTCTTCGGAACAAGCAGCAGCATGAAATGGCAAGAATACTTCGTAGTGATTTGAAGTGATAGCTCCTAAGATAGATATGTTGCCACGAAACAGATAATGTGTGCTTGTGATTTGTGAAGTGGGCAGATTAGTGATAGTGCTGTAATTGTTTGTGATTAACAGAGATTGTAAACAAAGTGTTAATAAAGCCAATCCAGAACCCGTTACTATTAGTCACAGAAACCCACAAACGTGACAGTATGATTCTGTTTAGTCTGGTAGAGGTTTTTCTGGTAAACTGTGAGATTACAGGTTGTCACCACATCCTAGTAGACAGCATTCTTCAGCCTACAAGCTATTTCTATTTCTGCTGTAAATTTGCAACAGTAGAAGATGATTGTAATGACATGTAATGAGCAAGGTTTTTTTTTTGTGTGTGTGTGTGTGTGTGTGTGTGGGGGGGGGCAAATTGGATCGAGATCCAGTGACAATGTGTGGTCTGGTTTCACAAGCAGAATATCTTTTTATGGTGGATCCTAAGGGTGGTAACTACTATGACTTTGAGACACGCAGCAGTAAGAGTGGAGAGGTGAACATAATTTGAAAAATAGATGCCTTCTATATTATGCAGTATAATGTGAAACAAAAAATGATCAAACAGTAACTGAGCAGGATGTAAAGCAAAGGTAATAATCATGTATTCACCTGGATAGGCTGAGAAAATCCAAACTCTGCCTTGATGGAAGGATGGCTCGTGTACAGTAGGAATTTCAGCGTCATATTTCATAAAGACAAGATGGCTGTCTTAAAGTTGTACTAACCTGATCAGTATATGTGATTAAAGTATTGTGTTGTATCTAACTAACAAACCATTATTCTGGTCTTATGAGTTCGCTGCAGTTATGTCATATAATCACAGCAGTAATTTGAAGACAAGAAATACATGTTTGTATGAAAACTTCATTCATGAGCTTGGACCTATAGACACAAGATACATAATTTATTTCTGTGAAGAGTAGTTCATTTTTGTGGATTTAAAAATGGAATACTAATCTGAAATGTCTTAGAAATTGTGTCAATTAATATTTTTATTCTCCCTTAAAACTATTGCGTACCTCATAATATTTATGGTTCGATGAAGGATTATGGGTGTGAAACTTGGTCTTTGACATTAAGGGAGGAACATAGACAGAGGGTGTTGAGAAGAATATTTGGACCAAAGAGAGATGAAGTGACAGGAGGTTGGAGAAAACTGCATAAGGAGGAGCTTCATAACTTGTACTCTTCTCCAAGTATAATTAGAATGATCAAGTCAAGGAGGATGAGGTGGGCAGGTCGTGTAGCACGAATGGGGAAGACAAGGAATGCGTATAGGATATTGGTGGGGAAGCCCAAGGCGTAGGTGGGTGGACAATATTAGAATGGATCTTAGAGAGAGAGGATGGAATGGTATGGATTGGATAGATCTGGCTCAGGATAGGGACCAGTGGAGGGCTCTTGTGAATACGGTAATGAACTTTCGGGTTCCATAAAATGCTGGGAAATTCTTGAGTAGCTGCAGAATTGGTGGCTCCTCCAGAAGGGCTGAGCTCCATGAGTAAGTAAGTAAGTAATAATATTCGTTTAATTTATAGCTTTCTACAAACATTTTAAACCTTTGGACCAATTTTAGTCATAATATGCTCTATACTTCAAGTCTGCATAAACCTCCTGTCACTTGCAGTAGTATACACTACATTCTGTGACTTAAAATTCACTTAATGTATGTGGCTGCATAGAAATTAAAAATGTGACTTTAATAATTGACTTTTGTTGTGCTTATAAATAAGACTTTCTCTGTAACTGTATCTTTGACAGCGTCGTACTGAATCGTGTGAGAGATGAAACTTGGAAACAAATTTATTGATATTTGTGAAGCTTGAATTCCACACATTAGTGAGACATCTTAGATTTATTTCATGGTTAATAACTGTACTTTCTCAAGCCTTTCTTCGAAAGTAGAATAGAATTTATCGAATTCATTGTATGTGAATAGCCTGTGATAATGTTAAAATGTAAATAAAAAATATATTTATTGAAAAAGTGAAGGTGATAGTTTCATATTGAAATGATTCTTATAGTGTGTAAGCGGAATGATTGTTTAGAATGTTTAAAAATTGATCACAGATTGTTAAAATGAGGGATTGAAACAAGATCCTTGTATAAGCTTATCTTGTGAACTAGATTTTGCAACAAAGAGGAACCAAGGTGAAAAAAAGAATACTGACATTTCCATTTATGTTGTGGCCCTACTGTAACATGGTCAGCACAGTTCATACACAGATGTCTGATTTTATCTTTATTATCTGATTAGCAAAATAGTAAAAAATATGTACAAAAGAAACTCAGTAACAAAGACTCCCATACGATATAAAATACTGAGTCCCAGAAATGCACAGAACATTAATATAAAATGGATCAGAGGCAAATGATGAAAAAGTGACCATTAACAGTACACAAGGTAAAAGTGCAGCAAAGTGGATTTTTTTAAGAGCAGCATCTTCTGGGATATAACGCTGTGCAGTGCGTTGAAAGTCAACCGACATTTTGATCGCGTCCATTCCTTTTCTTGCTTGACTTATTCAACCCTAAAAGATGGAGGCGCTATTTCTCCGAAACGTCGGTCGACTTTCAACGGACTACACGGCGTTATACCACAGAAGACAGTACTCTCTATAGCCACCTCTATAACCTCAAATACCGCACGGTATTTTTTTGTCTGATGGTTCCGCCACAGATACTATAACAGGGTTAACACCACGGAGTACTAATAGGATTTCCAGTTTATTTATATTTTGGAAATCGTTGAAAACGGCATGCTACAGCCATAGAATCCTGCCACTGACGAAAATGTATTCTGGGAACAATGGGCACCAGGGAAAGAGTCATAGTGTCACAAATGCATAAGGGAGTGCTATAGTCATATTTCAAATTGCCAGCCGTGTCAGCCATTATTCCTTGTCCGTCGCGGGGAGGGTGGAAGGGCAAATAGCCGCCATTTGCAGGGAATATCTCGTACGGAGTATGGTAGCGTCCTGTTCAGTTATTAATTGCAGGAATTCGAGGAAGAATAATAGTAACAATGTAACATTTCACAGGTATGATAGCATAGGTAACAACCAAAGTATAATATTCTACAAGCAGTTTTATTGAGATTTTAGTTTCATTTTAGTATGATGGTGAAATGTATTTTCTTCTCATCCGTGAATAATATTATTTAAGTATTTATGATATGGGACAACTACGTTTAGTCGTTTTGACGTGTATTATGAAGAATACCCGTTGCCTCCATATACCATTAATGCATCAGCCATATTCTGTGGAATAGCTATTTTCATTATACTCCAGAGCGCCACTTGGAAAGGAACTTACCATTGAAGGGATATCTTCTTTTGGCAGACTTTTATCCTGCCATATTACCGGCTTAGTTTAGTTTGAAAATAATTGCCGAATAGTCGAGTCACCGAACTCCACTCTAGAAGTTGAGAGAATTACTGAATATCTAATACAAGATAATCTAACCTTACTTTAGTCGCCATAATATTGTTCATGGTCACTCCACTCTAGAAGTTGGGAGAATTACTGAATATCTAATACAAGATAATCTAACCTTACTTTTAGTCGCCATAATATTGTTCATGGTCACTGCAAGCTTCACTGAAAAGTAATGAAGTGCTGTGGAGACATAAAAATGCATGAAAACGCTTGCAGTTATTGACATGTCACAACATCCTATGCTGACACTTCTTTCATATAACTAGATGTACAGTTTTTTTATAAAAGTGGAGGAATGAGGTTTGAGATGGAATGTACATACTTAAACTGCGGTCTTTTGCTGAGATCTTCGTACAGTTAGATGAGTTTTATGTTCGCTAGACAAATACATTTGGTCAGGAAAACTCCTGCAGGTCAACATGAACACGGTGAGAGCAAAGGTTATTCTTGAACCATTTATCTCATGTATAAACCTTCACTCCACTGTACACAGACTTTCTATTTTTCAGAAGCATATGGAGTTCCAACTACTGTGATCTTACAGTTTGTTTCTTTTTCAGTTTATTTAATGTAGGTTCATTAACTGTATCAGTTAAAATAGCCTCAGATGACCATTGATTGTGACTAATAACTTGAGAAGGACGAGGAAGGAGGTGGTCATAAACTTCGGGTACTATCTCACCATTTCAGTGGTGGAGTGAGGAAAGCCATGGAAAAGTCTCAAGATCTCCTTATGCATGTGATACTGTTTGTTTGAATCTTAGGTTATTTAATTATGCTCTTCCAACTGCATAGGTTATGTAGTGCCATATGGCATGATAATCATGAATAGTATTAAATAAGGATTAGTAGAAAAAAATCAGTCATTATTTATTTGAACATGTTATTTCAATAATGTTTATTGTACTACACAGTTTGTCAAGAATGCAACAAATTGTTCCTTCTTTCTTACACTTTCACTTTCGACACAACATGTTTCGGCCCTAAATGGCCATCTTCAGGTGTCTTACTATGCTAAAACTGCTACACTGCACTAATATTGTCCATTCGTCACACATGCGCCTGCACGCTTCATGATTTAAGACATAAAGTCAACACCACATGCTGCTAGAAGGAACAACGCCCAAGCAAAGGCCAAAATTACAGATTGCAGACATAACACAGCGCACTTACAAATAGAAAAACAGGCTGCCACAATAAAACATCTGAAGTAAAGGATACAGATAAAACAAATGGATGACACCCCTTGTGAGGTGTAATAAGAATTTTACAAACTTTATAAGAAATTTTAATAGATTTTATTTTATTTAAATTAAGTGAACTCCAGCATGTGCTATTGTAACGCATACCAATTGACTACAAGTATGACATTTTAAATCATGAAGCGTGCAGTCGCATATGTGATGACTGAACAATATTAGTGCAGTGTAGCAGTATTAGCATAGTAGGACACCTGAAGATGGCCATTTAGGGCCGAAACATGTTGTGTCAAAAGTGAAAGTGTAAAAAAGAAGGAGCAATTTGTTGCATTCTAGACAGACTGTGTAGTACAATAAGCAGTATTAGATATAGTAATGCTACAGGATGCTTAAATACAGTATTATTTCAGCATATACTTTGGGAGAGCAAGAAGAAGTAGAGAAAATCTTCAGCATAACCACTAAACTAACTGATGTCTGAACCAGTTACTTCCCAAATATAAGTCAGAAGTGTCTGAGGTCCTCACAGTGGTGACTTGGGCTACATAGTGACACATCCCAGAAGATAATTCCTTTCACAAGTCTATGGCATTACTGCTGCTCTAGCATGCTCAGTTTTGTATTACTAGTTTATCAAGAAAGTTTTACCCTGAGGATGGAGGCAGTAGTTTCTTCCCAAACATTGGTAATCACCTGCAGAGCTGCATGATATCACAGTCCAGAAGACCACAACATGAACCTTCACGAATGTAGACATCTCATGTCTTGTATGAGCTGTGTTGACATTTTAACCCTTCAGCTGCCAACCTGAAAGCTCTGTTCAATAACAAGAAGCTCTGGGGACAACTGATAGCATACTTTCCTTCAAAATGACATGAACTACATAGGAAAAGGCATGTCCAACAATTCATTTATTCTTTCTTGTGTATTTCTTACCATGGGAATGTGTTTTCAAGCAGTTGCATAGCGATGAGGGGAGGTGAGATTCACAGATCTCATAAGCCTCCTTTTATTTTTTCAAACTTAGGGAAAGTAAGCTAAAAGTGGGCTAAAAATATGGCTAAACACTGATGAAATTATGTATCACGTGTACAGTGAAATGGTTAATATGCCAGTATACTTAAAGTTTCTGTCTGGTGCTTAGTTTATTGTAAAGATTTCATTTATTCATTCACAGGTTTCCTCTAAGTAAGCCGGAGCTTTGTAAGCAGTGGGTTCGTGCTCTTTGCCAACCAGACTTTAATCCTTTGCCACATCATTTACTTTGCTCAGATCATTTTGAGAAAAGTTGTTTTCTGCCAGGATATGTAAATAGACGACAGTTAAAGAAAAACGCAGTACCTACTTTGTTTGATTGTCTTGAAAAGGTGAGTTTGAAGACCTCAGATACAACCTCTTTATTAAAACCGTCACAACACAACAAATATCAAGATTAGTGCCTAGTTTCAGCTCTTCAATTCAAGGAGAATGATTGTTGCAAAGAATTTTATAGGTCATACCAGTTTTTCATGAAAACAAGAACTGGTTTTTGTTACATGACAGCATGCATACTCCATTAATTGTTTGTTTGAAGATTTCTTTGACCAAATAGGGTTACTGAGATCGCCCACCCTCTCCTCACCAGGTTTAGCTGTAGCCAACATTTTTATCATTTGAAGTTAAATGTGAAGGTGATAAGGGATCACTTTCTTAGCATCCAAACATCCAAAAGAATATGACTGATCATCTCAAATAGATAACTTTTGGGGAATTTCAAATTTATTTGTAGTAATTAAATAAGAGGTGTAACAGGTGTATAAAGTCTTAATGATGACTACTTTAAATGATTCTCATAGTAAATTATTTCCAGAATTTCAGCTTCTCATGGATTCTTTTCCTTTTTTTAAAAGAATTTTTGTCCAGTTACTTCTCAGATGCTGTGTCTGTATATTATCTTCCCAAATGGTAGTCATGTGAAGTGAATGTTGTGCATTTTTGTTGAAATAAAAATGTCTTACAGAAATTGATTGAGCCTAATGACTAAGGTGTTTTATTTCTGTCTTCTTAAAAACTAGAAGCAGATGGGTAGCATAATTTTTTAATAAGAAGTTGTGCAGATGTCGAAAGAATGTCATGAATGGTATCATTTTGTAGTTCCCTAGCAGACCAATCATAGGGAACTGGTGTTTATCACAAATGTCACGCCCGTCCAAACTGATGAGCCTCGCTGTACTTCAGCAGAAGGTAACACCATCCTCTAAAAAAAAATAAATGACATTCAAGTTCAGAGTTGTGGGAGCCACACTTGTTTCTTAACCAGATGATGGTAACAAGGCTTTTACCTGCTCATAATAGGTCATGTATTTAGGCTTAGCCCCTGCATTGTACATTTAAAGAAATAGTGGGGCAGTTGTTACAGCTGCATTGTAGGAGGAAGGAAGGGTGATTTAATGTAACGTAGGCCCATACACACCCTGTAGTTTTTTATCTCAGTGGACTGTGCCAGATCCATTGGCATTCTTCTGAAAATGGCCAGGTCTAAAAGCACAACAGTACAACAAACTAACTCCACACAGCAAGGTCTGTCTTGAAAAGCTAATAGTCGGTTAGCTGATTAAGAAATTTACACATACCTATACAAACCTATTTTAGCATATTATGATGTCAAGTTAAATATATTTCACTGTAATACAAATTTCCTGTCATGCTATACTTAACAGTGCATGCCCTGCTCAAGTATTTGTTAATAGTAAACTTGCATTTAAAGATACTGCCATGTTTAAATATTTGCTATAAAGATTCTGTATGAGAACAGCATTGGACCATTTTGGACAAATCCCAAACATGTTGAGATATATGTGTCCAGTACTCACAGATTGATTAAAAAATTGTACTGTTATTTCATGTTTAGGAATTGCAACATCTGGCATCAAACACAGAGAAGGAAGAACCAATGTCAGTGTCCAATCTAAAAAATGATAATGTTGCTTTCTCAAAGTTGGATCAAGGTATGAAAACAAAAGTCACCTTTTCAAAGCCTTTTTGTTGACATGAAGTCTAAACCAACTTTCTCCTGTTGTGCTGGGCCATATGGCTGTATACTGTTTTGTGCCATCTCTCCTCTGGTCGTCTGAAATTGTAATGAATAGTGAAATTTTCCAACAAAATCATAGAATCTAATAAATGCTGTATGTATTGTATGGGGCATGCAGTAGCGTAGTTGGTTGAGGCACTGTGCTACAAGCCAGAAGGTTGCGGGTTCAAGTCCCGATGTGGTGGTGGTGGTGTTGTCCCCCCCCCCTCCAGTTTACCTAATCCTTGCAGCCGCACTATGGCCCTGAGATTGTTTCAGCCCCCAGCAGAAATGAGTACCAAGAATCTTCCTGGAGGGTAAAGGGTGGCCAGTACCTAAGGCTGACAACCCTACCACCATCTGTGAGCCAATTGAAAAAATCCATCTCATTGGGATTTGATCCCATGACCTTCCAGCTTGTAGCACAGTGCCTAAATCAACTACGCTACCGCATGCCCCCCCAGAAGAGCAGAAGAGAGTACTCTTCATAATCACCACTCTAAGAACCTCAAATGCAACACTGTATAAACCTGATAGATGGATTGAATTTTTAATTCCCCTAAAATGTTTGGGGGAGGCAGATGGAGGAGAAGAATAAGAGTAGGGCAGATGAAGTTCACAAAAAAAATGAAATATTAAGTTAAGTTAAGCATGTGTAACATTCAGCTGTCTTAATAGATTTCTTGAGTGTTAGCTCTAGATAGAATAGAGAAATGTAGGGGCACAGGCTCCATGTTGTAAGTCAACAGTTTGGAATGCAGATAAGCCATGTTCCAGATGATCAGTCAGTGAAGAAGGTAATGTTCTCTCTGTCTTTACAGAAGCTGCAGACTTGCTGGATGAGCAGTATGGTTCTGGAAGCAAAGCAGAAGAACCACTAAAAATGCGGACTGAGTCACTGTGTCGTGTCTGTGCATGTCCAAGTGAAGAATTAGTCCCAGTGTTTGGGCAGAAAGGTTCAGAATTGCAGCTGCTTGAGAAGATTCACATACATCTCCCTATAATGGTGAAGAGTTACACTAATGCTGTCTTACTGTCCTTGACTTTTCTCGTCTTCCTATTAGAAAGTGATATAACCTTGACAGATATTTTCAGCCATTTATGTTTGTAGTGCAACTTTAGTGAATAGAGTGTGTGGTGTGGTCTCCCATCCATGCCTACATGTTCCTGGTGCTGTCTTTCCTTCAGGTTTTCCTGCTGACATGATAAAAAATTCTGCATGTTTTTTGGAACCCAGAAATTCATTACCATGTTCACAAGAACCCAACATCGTTATTTACAGACACATGTATTTACTTCACAGATATAGCCATTAATAATTGCCTATCATATAGACATTATCAAATTTCCCTGAAGGGGTTCTATTCTGTGCTCTGTATTCAATTCAGGTGACTCCAGAAGATTTGCTACCTGTGATCTTGTGTACATCTTGTATTTATAAACTTGAAATATTCCCTAAAGATGTTATATTCTTTACTCTTTTATTAAATTCAGGTGACACCAGAAGATATACTTCCTGTGACTATGTGCACATCCTGTATTTGTAAACTTGAAATGTGTCATCAGTTTGTTCATGGATGTTTGGATGCAGATATAAAGTTGAGAACAATTTTTGGCTTGGAAATGGATGAGTTAGTAAGTAAGCGTATTTATTTAGTTAATTATTCATTTATTGTTTTCTATCTGCCTAATGAAGCTGTCACTAGCTCATACTCTGCGGCTTTGAATGGTAGTATAATTAGTGAACGGCGAAGTGAAGGATATGAAAAGTAGCAGTCATGGTTTATTTCAGAGTGTGTTCCTGATGTGTTACTTTTACATTTACATTGCATTGCATTGCATTCCATGGATCCAAACTTCGTCAAAATGACTGTAGGATGTGAAATATGTCATATAAATACAAAACATATGTACAGACACAGTGGAGTTCTCACACAAGAGAAACCAAAAATACACAGTGACTACACACAGGGCTATTTAAATATACATAAGTTATTTTCCAGACAATAGGTATTCATGAGCAGAGTAGAATGAATGTGTATTTACTGCCTGAGGCATTTTGCTTGGTGATGCTCTCATGTTTGAATTTGACCCCCCTCGGTGCTATTCATGAAGCATCTGCATTATTCCCTCTCTTCCTGATCAGTATAACGTGTAACATTTAGACTGAGTGCTGTGCACTGTTTGTTATATCCCGTTGTTTTTCTAAGTTATGTGACAGCTTCTGTACATACTTTGCATATTTCTCAGAAAATGGAAGAGTTGCATGAAATTATTTGTCATGGCATTGTAGGTGTATGCACAATGTATGTCATGTGTTCAGGAACATTAAAAATTACAAAATTACCTTTTTTTAAGTCACCAATGAAGATGTTTATGTCACATCATAAACGGAATAAACCTACCAGAAGATCGTAAACCAGTGGGGGGAAAAAAGAAGGTAAAGCTGTCCCTGTGCTTAATTAAGCACCACGCCAAGAAGGCGTATGGGAGAGTTGATGTATAGGTCCACATTTCATGGACTTGTGCACTAGCTGGAGGTGAGTGGTCAGCTTCACACCCGGCTGCTTTATCCCAGGAGAAATTGGCTCCACTACCATTTGATAGGAGGTTATGCTGTCGAGAAGAGAAAACTGTTTCCCCTATTGGAAATTGAACCCCAGCCATCCAACCAGTATCTCATTGCTATTCCTACTCCCATCTGAGCCAATGAATGACGCAGTAACATCCAGCACTGGTAGTTGCAATTCCTCTACTCCAGTTGTTACATGTTTGGCTTTCTGCTTGTTATTTATAGCGGTTATTCTTTTAATTGCAGATGCTTTACAGTGATGAGCATACTGTTGAGAGTCCATGCGGAACATCTAAGGAACCTTCTCCACAAACAGAAAAGGAAGAGCTGTATTCCCACACATCTGAAGGTTCCGCAGATGACGAATATGAAACTCATACAGCACAGTCAGTCAAATCAGATGAGTCTGTTGATAATTTTGATTATACAGAACATCCAGAAATTTCAGCAGTTGTACCTGAACAGAATACTGAAGTAGGTGTGAGAGATGTGGATGACATAGAATACAAGGCTGTTGATGCCAGTCATCATTCTCTTGAACAGCTTAATCATACAGCATACATAGATGGTGCACTTGTGGAAGAACAGAATGTTGTCATAGACATGGAAGGGGCAGATGTGGTGGAATATGAAACTTACAGCCTTGGTCATTCAGCTGACGAAGTTGATTGTGCAGAATATGCAGAAATCTCATGGACTCATGGTGATTATACTGAGGTAGATGCAGATGTTATAAATGAGGTTCAGTATGATGCAAATGACTTTGATGAACATTCTGATCAGCTGCAGAGTTCTGAAGAACAAGAAATCACATTTGATCAGCAGAGTCATGAATACCTAAAGAATGCAGAGTCTGCTGCAGGCTGCATGAAATTGAGACATAGTTCAGCTGCAGAAAAGTCAAAAATGGTATGTACACATCGTAGATTAACTGCTACTTGTTCAATATAAAGACGCTTCAGATATCCCTTAACTTTTAACTTATGAATTATTATTATTATTATTATTTGAGGGGGTGGGTTTCCCCATGCACCGCGACTAGTGTTAATCTATTGTGCGTCCCCCTTTAATATTCTACCAGTCGCCATGCCCTTCCAGTACTGGTGCTCGCTATCAGCCCTGTTCTGCCAGCGAGGTTGGCCCTCTTGGGCAGTGGTCCCCAATACTTCCCCATCTACCAGAGGAATTGGAAACTGCTTGGGTGGGAAACTGCCTAATTTTTCTCAGAGGTGTCCTAGAGACATGAGGATCTTTTACGTGCCGTAAATCTACGACATGGGACACACGACTTAAAGTCCCTCCTGGAGGACTTGTTCACTGAATTAGTCCAACCTTAAAAATTCCACGACCTCCGCCGGGTTTGAACCCACGTACCTTGAGTCATGAGGTGGGAATGTTACCCCTAGACTAGGGAGGTCGCTTTTTAACTTATGAATGTTAGATATATATATAAAACAGCAAATAACACTCAGCTGTGGCCCAGATGTTAGATTTATCCACGGCAGTACACTGCACTCTGGGATTGCTGACAGTTTCATCTTCCAGTTGAAACCACAGCAAACCCATGCAAGGTCAAGTCAAGTCTGTCATGTACTCAAGAAGGGCTGAGCTCTGTGGATTTAGATGTATTTCCTATATTTTCCAGAAAAGAGAGAACCCTAAAGTGAAAGTTGTTATTGTGAACGTGAAAGATACAGTGAACAAGACACACACTGCACAGTTCAGAAGGACTTCAGATCTGATGATGATGAAGGATCTTTCTTCAAACAAGTAAGTCACAATTTCTGTCCTGTTTAATGCTGTAGGGGATATTTCACTGTCATTGTAAAAGGATTTTAAAATTGTGATCTCAGATGTGACTTCTCAAACTTGGGAGCCACTACTTTACAAAGTATCGTAGCTACTGCTTATGTTCATCATTGGAGATAAAGGGACCCATTAATGATGATTGTCCAGTTTTTGTTGAAAATGAGAAATGGATTAAATTTTGAGTTTTTTGTAGCAGTGGTTATTCATATCATGGTGTTCTGAGTTGTGACACCATGTAGTCTCATAGACAGATACACCTACAAGACTACACAGTGTCACAGCCCAGAAGACCACAGAAATAGTGGAGGTTCTGTGGTGATATTTGGAATTTTGTAACAAAGCTGATAGGCCTGTTGGTATATATGTGAACACGTATGTGCACAGACATCCTTGTCTGACTGACAGGCCAGTCTTTGAAAATAAGGACCTGGCCCCATTAGACCAGTTCGTATTACTCGTCATATGTGGCATGGTTGTGTGAAAATTGTTAAGTTTTGTACAGGTACAAGAAACTACAGATGTTGGTGCATCCTAAAACCCACATAGACGTGCATATTCTAGATGCAGAAACATTGCCTGAAACATCATAATGAAATTTGTGAAACTTTGTATTGGACAGTATGTAGCATGAAAGGGAAAGATAAAAAATGTATCTAAAATTTTGGTCAGGAAACCTGAAGGGGAGAAGACTGGATCTCGCAGAGATAGGCTGTGAGGTGAGGACTGAATTCTTCTGGCTCAGGATATGGTCCATAAATGATCTGTTTTTGAAACAGTAACTTTCCCTTTGCTTCCTTAAAAGTCATGGAATTTCATGACCAGCCAAGCAACTCCTGTTCCCCTTTTTAAGAAGAATTCTGCTCCAGTTATAGTAGTTTTGGTCTTAGGATTCATGCAGCACAGTCTTGTTATCACCACATTATAAAAACTGAAAGATAAAGTCATAGTTCCTAACTTGTTAACACGTTGTTTTGCAGGATACAGCAGGCACTTGAATATCAGGAGTCAGACAATTCAAAATCACCTAGATCTGACATTATGTTGAAGTCATCCGCAGTTTCTATAGGAGACATGACGCCTAAACAAGTGAAGCTGGAGAGGCCTGCACGTATGCATGGAGATCATTCCTATACATATCGGCGGCACTCTTTTTATCCTTGTATATATTGCAGAGAGACTGTTAACACTAAAGAGAGACTTATTGCACATCAAGTAACTGAGCATCCTGGTAAAGTATTTTGTTGTGAACAGTGTGGTAGTGTTTATTATTCCAAAGCACTATTGGATGAACATCAGAAAAGCCATGTGATAGAAACAGAAGATGGCAGTGCTCAGCCTGAGTCCAACATCTTTTTGCAGTCTTCAGTTTGTGTAAAAGAAATCCAACCATTGTATTCTAATAATGATAAAGTTGTGGATAATGGTGTGATGAACCTGGACAGTAGGGAGAAATTAGGAACATTGAAGCTGGAGAATGGTGCTGGTGATATATTGCCAGTACCAGAAGTTTCAGAGGCTGAGAAAGATTCTGTAGACAAAGATATTCAGAGACAAAATGAACAGGAAAATACAGAAGAAATCAGAATGGTAGATGTTCATATAAAACCAGAGAAAGGAACTGAAAAGGGAGATGTATATAAAAACACTTCTAAATTCTGTTTAAAATTATCAAAGGAATTTGAAAACATTGATCTGGATTACAAATCAAAGATTTTAGAAACTGTTAATAAGATCATGGAAGAGAATGGCAGTCATACCAAAATAGACACTGTTATACCTGAAATTGTGAGACAGGAGGCAGAGAAAAAACTGGGTATCCCTGAATCAGCGAAGCCAGTACTCAAGACGCAGATGAGAGATATGAAGCATAACATTTGGAAATGTAATCTTTGTAATCATGTTTCAACTTCACTGCAGAAGCACCAAGAACATCGTCGAACTCATCCTCAAATAAAGTTCTCATGCTCGTATTGTAATAAGCAGTTCCCGTCACAGAAGAGCCGTAGTCATCATGTCTCTATACGTCACCCTGACAAAAAACGTTTCATTTGCGAGCATTGTGGAAAAAGCTTCCGTTTTTGGCTTTCTCTTAGAGACCATTTGTTCACTCATAATAAAGGTGAATGCATATTTCAGTGTGAGAAATGTGGGAAAGAATTTGAGTCAAAAGCAAGCTATGATAGTCATGACTGTAAACCTGGTGGAGCTTCGTACCTCTGTGATATATGTGGCAAGAGCATGAGGTACCTTACAAGTCTCAGATCCCACAGGCTCTCCCATGCTGATCCTGCCAGTCAGGCCAAACATTCTTGTGCAATATGTGGAAAGGAATACAGCAGCAGGTATGTTCATCCACTTATTTTATCGAGAACATTGGCCATATGTCCACTCTATCATATATTATCACATAATTCATGCACCTTGACTTCTGTGGTCTAGTGGTTAGAGTTCCTGCCTACAGATCCAGAGGTCCGGGTTCGATTCCCGGCACTACCAGCTTTTCTGAGAAGTAGTGGGTCTGGAACAAGGTCCACTCAGCCTCATGAGGATAATTGAGGAGCTATTTCAAGGAAATAGTGGCTCCGGTCTAGAAACCCGAAATTAATGGCTCTGGGGATTCATTGCGCTGACCACGCGACACCCTCTATCCATTAAACTTTGCACTGACTTCGTCAACAAGCGGTGGTTGGTTGGTATAATTCACTGTGGCCTAAAACCATGGAGGGTTTTTTTTTTTTTTTATTCATGCACCTTGATTTTCACAGTGAAATGTAAAATATATTTCCTGTTGTATTATAATGTATCTTCTTACATGTGAAGATTGACATCAGGGAGGAATGTCAGCAGTAAAGCCTGCAAGGCATAGCTGGCCAGTATAAAATCTAAAGCAAGCAAGAAGATCAGTTCAGAATAATTCGTTTGGGATTGTTATAGCCTTTCATATATGTGTGTGTGTATATATATATATATATATATATATAGAATTAACTTTATCTGGTATAGTGACTAGATACAGGCTGAATGACTGTGGTTCGATTCCTTCGAGTGGCAAGAGATTTTTTTATTATTCAAATCATCCAAAGCTCTGGTTATGAAATTTTGGAAAGAATGTGTGAATGTGGTATACGTGATGAAGTGTATTATTTAGTTGTGCTTCGTAAGTGTTTGTGAACATTCAGATTCCTCACTTCTGTTTGTCTGAGAGAGGTAAATGACTAAAGCTTTTCCCATGGTGTCTGTACTTCATCAGGGGAGTTCATAATAAGGCTGAAATATTTTGTCATTATACCTGTAAAATGTTGATCTGATTAGTGTCATTTTTCCGGCTTGAATATTGAATAATTTCAGAAGTTTACATACCTATACTAACGTTTGTTCTGTAAGCTAACAGAAACACAAGAAAATTTAATGTTATTTACTTAGCTAATTAAAATCTTTCTTTCCTGATGGATGATGAATTACTTCATGATATCTTCCCAAAGATAATTTTTTTTTTAAACCAATGGGGTGGGACTAAGTCCCTTGTACTGCGGCCACTTCTGGCCTATTGTGCCAGCCCCCAGATGATAGGTGAGGGTGAATGTGTAGCAATTGGTGGAATGAAGATTGGCAGGGGAAACCGAAGTACTCAGAGAAAACCTGCCCCAGTGCCACTTTGTTCACCACAAATCCCACTTGACCAGAACCTAGATCGAACCCAGGCCACCGCAGTGGGAAGCCAGTGACCAACCGCTTTAGCTGTGGCGTGGCCACTTTAATCTTCCTTGCCATATAAATGCGATCTTAGCTGCAAATGCCATCAGTGGGCAGTTTCTGAAACTCACAGATACTGTGACTCATTCATTAGGACACAGCTATAAACTAGAAAAGCTATTAAATACAGTACTTCAATAAAATCTGTATTAAGGCCCTGCTAGTGTATGTGTGTGTGTGTGTGTATTCAGGGGTGCTCAGAACATGCAAGTCCATCAGAATTGCCAGGCTGATTCATTGCATTATCTTGATCATGTGATGTCTTGTGTACTCATGTAGTACATATATGAGAAATTGAAATTAAAAATGTAATATACCAAATGAGATATAGTAGATGGTTTTCATTTTACTAAGAGGTGTGGAATACATACTTATGTGTGGTGCGTTAGAGGTAAATAGTCCCTGTGGCTAAGCACTGTATCATATAAGGGAATTGGAGATGAAGCTCCTCACTCACTCATGGAGCTGAGTCCTTCCTGAGGAGCTGCCAGTTATGCAGCCACTCAAGAACTTCCCAGCATTATATGGAAACCTGAAGGTTCAGTACCATGTTGACAAGAGCTTTCCACTGGTCCCTATCCTGACACAGATCAATCCAATCCATACGATCCCATCCTGTCTCTCTAAGATCCATTTTAATATTATCCACCTATCTATGTCTTGGTCTTCCCAGTGGTCTCTTTCCCTCTGGATTTGCCACTGCTATCCCATATCCATTTCTGTTCTTCCTCTTTTGTGCTACAGGCCATGCCCATCTCATCCTCGACTTGATCATTGTAATTATACTTGGTGAAGAGTACAGGATATGAAGCTCCTCATTATGCAGTTCTTTCCAACCTCCAGTCACTTCATTTCTCTTCAGCCCAAATATTCTCCTCAGTACCCTGTTCTCAAACATATTCTTAATTTCAGACCAGTTGTCAGTTTCACCCTCTGATCACCTTACCCTTAGGGAAAGATGGCCCCATATCTAGAAGTCTCGCTGGACGTGATGACCATGAGAATACCTTTACCACGAATCAAATCCTGTATTTCCAGCCTATAACAAATCACATTATGAAGTTGGCTGTTACAGCTGAAGTTCAGGTAATTATTCAGCAATTTGTTTGTACCATAATGAACCTTTGTGCTGAAATAATTTTGTGCATTTGTTGCAGGTGTTTGCTTGCTGATCATATGCGGCTGCACACAGATGAGCACCCACATCAATGTATACATTGTGGGAAAGCATTTCAGACGAGAAGTCAGCTCTCAAATCACAAGTTAATTCATATTAATGCTCGTAAGCACAAATGTCCTCTTTGTGGAAAAGGATTTGCTCGTCGACAGCACATGAGGGTGCATGTTAGGGCACACCAAAGATCATTAAAATACGCTTGCAAAATATGTAACTGTCCATTTTCAAGCGTGGGAGAACTCATAATGCACCGTAAAACTCATACCCAGGAAGAAATTGCGGAAGCATCAAAAAAGCAAGTTCTGCAAGGTGGAGGTCCATTGGCATTCACGTGCCAGATATGTGGAAGACATCTGGCAAGCAAGTTCACTCTTAAGAACCATGTGATGATGCATGCGGATGATAAACCATTTCATTGTGAGATCTGCGGTAAGAAGTTTACGATGAAGTCATCTCTACAGACACATCATCGTGTGCATACACGAGAGAGACCTCACACATGTCAGCATTGTGGTGACACATTCCAGTCAAGACAGAATCTTGTAGTCCATGAACGTATTCATACGGGGGAAACGCCTTTCAAATGTACAGAGTGTGATAAGGCTTATCGTTCTAGACACAGTCTCAGGCAGCACCTTATGATTCACGCAGACTATCGGCCATATGAGTGTCTACAGTGTGGGAAGAGATTTAGACGCCAGGATATTCTCATCACTCACATACGCACGCACACAGGAGAACGACCCTTTGCTTGCAATGTGTGTGGCCGTGCCTTCAAACAAAAAGGGGACTGTAACAAGCACCAGCAAAGACATGCGTTATAATTCAGAAACACACAAATACTTTTTGAGTGTATTCTGACAGTTTCCAAGGTTTAATAGTAAAGAAAAGGTAAAATTAAAAAGTAAAAGCAAAATTCCTTGTATAACTAATTACTCTACTATAAAGGCATAATGGAGATGCACAGGTGACTCTGCAGCCTATTAAGCTCACCACTAGGCACTCCTGGGAGGCCAGCTTCATGCTCTGACCATCTCTACCCAGTAACAATTGACACATGGTTAAATTCCAAACATCTGGTAAACTATATGATGAAAAATATATGGGAATTAATTGGATCTGATAATTTTTGGTAGCTGAATGTTATTTTTGTCAGATAATAGGAGAAAAGTAAAAGATAAATGTAATCTGTGGTTGAAGAGTGACACCATAAAGATGTATGGGGGAGTTGAAGTATAGTTCCACCATTGAGCTCAGCACTAGTTGGAGGTGAGTGGTCAGCTTAATGCCCTGGCTACTTTACTCCCCCTCTGGCGGTAAAGAATCTCTGCTACCCATTATGTAGGAGGCTGGATCAGGGCCAGTCTGGACTCTGGAGAAGAGAAAAATCTCTTGCGCCTGACAGGAATCAAACCTCAGCTATCCAGTCCATAGCCTGTCACTATACCAACTGAGCTGTCAAAGATATGCATTAAAAATATGAGTAAGTTAATGTAAAGATATTTAAGCAAATTGACAGAACATCATCTACATAGTGTTTTGTAAAAGGGCAGTGTTCAGGTAGCCAGTACAGTCATCATACAGAATGGTCAGTATGTAGAGATAGAATGTGATTGTAATATATTTAGTGTTTCAGCAGCAAGCCTGAAGGTAGTACGATAATCTGAGTGTGGAACAGCATTTAGTTGACAGTAATTTCAAGAGTAATACTACAGCATCAAGAAATGGTGTCATTTCAGGACTCCTACAAACAAACACATGAGAAGGAGTTAGTCTTGAAGTGCTTCAGTGTCATAAATCTAAATCTTTGTTGATATGATTATCAAATAACTGAGTAGATGTGAAGGAAGGAATCATGTCTGGTAAGACATGGGAATAATGCATTTCTAAGTGCATACACAACACGGGAGGAGCATAAATGAGCATTGGTCAATACCACTGTGTATATGAACCTGGGAGAGAGGGTCCCAAATATCTCCTGACCCAAGGAGAGATTGTGCTTGTAGAGGTGGGGTAAGGGGTTCAGCTCAAAGATCACAGAAAGGAGCCCTCACTGTTTAAAATATTATTGTCCACACAGAAAGGACCCAGATTTATAAATGAAAAGAGTGTATTATGTAACATACCAATAAAATGAACTGTTGACATATAATTTATGTGTACTGGTCCTCTTATTCAGAAAGCCACAACCACCACTGCTTCAAGGCCTGAATAAGGAAACTTTTTCACTCTGTTTGGTATGCAAGATGTATTGAGATGAACCAGATGGGAATACACAGTAAATTATAACTGATTGCAGTGCAGGGGCTGTTTATGCCAATTTTGTCGTACATGTAATGATATTGATGGAAAGATTCCATTTTTTAACCATACTAGGTATGGAATAAAAGTTTCAAACATCCAACACATTTTCACTTTTGTTTATAGACTACAGCTTTACATAAATGTTTGTTTATTCTTACATGATGTGATGCCTTGTAATCTGATAGTGTTGTCATAGTCACAACCCTAGGGACCCCAAATCTTATATAAATATATGTAGTCAATTGTAATTTTCCAAAAAAGTTTTTACTGAAGAGAGGTGCATTATGAGGTTTCATTACATTACCAAAATGTAGTAGGACATTCCAGATTTGTTTGAACCATATTCTGATGTGAAGTGAACCGCTGTATTACAGACTTCATCATGGTTCATGGAAGGTACAGTATAATACATTTCATGGAACAACTGGAAACAACATGGCCACCTACTGTTTTCATGAAATGTTACAAGCCATCACATTTCAATCATGAAATTTTTGCATACCATGAGTAAACAGGACTAAATATTTGGTTTTTGTGTGCCCAATGTTTCAAGCCCCAGATAGTATTAATTGTGCTCCAGCATAAATCTGCTCATGTTATACATAAAGGCCAGTTGATTCATCTTTGCATTTGATTGTTTTTATATACAGCGGATGCAGAGTCAAATGAATCCACTGCAACTAAGTTTTGAAGCATGTTTTGGAATTTGAAATATAATCGTAGAGGGATAACAAAGCCCTGTAAGCAGTGATGGGGTTTCCAGAAATGTTACCATGCTGGTCAGAATAATAGCTCATTTTTGGATACTTAAATGGGATTCACATTTTTAGTTCACAAATCGCGATGTGTGCTCTGTTGGGCTTGAAAATTGTCGTAATGAAACTTCATGGAACTGAGCCCTTGAGAAGCAGCCAGTCTTGCAGTTATTCAAGAAGTTCCAAACATTTTATGGAATCCAAAGGTTAATTACCATGTTCACAAGAGCCCTCTACTGGTCCCTATCCTGAGCCAAATCAATCCGTACCACATCTCTTGAAAATCCATTTAATATTCACCCACCTACATCTTGGACTTTCTTCTATCTTTCCCACAAATATCCTATAGGCATTCCTCTTCTAAACCATACATGCTACATGCCCTCCTCATCCACTCTGGTTTGATCATTCTTATTATACTTGGCAAAGAGTACAGGTTATGAAGCTCTCATTATGCAGTTTTCTTCAACCTCCTGTCATGTCTTCTCTTTTCGGTACAGATATTCTCCTCAGCACCCTGTTCTCAAACACCCTCAGCCTGTGTTAATGCCTTAATGTTAGAGACCAAGTTTTGCATCCATACAGAACCGCAGGCAAAGTTATAGTTTAGTATATCCTAATTTTTAAAGACAGCAGACGAGAAGACAAGTTTTTAGACCGAATGGTAGCAAGCATTACCCAAATTCAGTCTCTTAGTTTTCTCCAAAATCAGATTTTGATTTGTTACTGTCATTCAAATATTTTAACCATGCCACATTTTCAAAGCATCTGTTAGCTATCTTTATGTCATGATTTTGCTCTGCATTCTGGTGACAAGATAGAAACATATACTTGGTTTTCTGTGGGTTTATTTCTGTACCAACCTCCTTACTAGCATCAGTTAAGTTTTGTGTTTGACTTTATGGTATCTACACGTATGTTATCACCAAGCTGATTCACATCATCAGCATAGACCAGCAGCTGATGTGTCCCATTTGATTTCAGTCCCACCTGGTTTTCCTTAGGGGGCACTATGCTGCAAGCTGGAAGATCGCGGGTTCAAGTCCTGATGAGGTCATCAGATTCTTTCAATTGAACTTATCCAGTGGCCCTAGCATCGACAGCCTCTAACAGAAGTGAGTACCAGGAATAGTATTGGGGGTAAAGGTTGGCCGTCGCGTAGGGCTGACAACCTTGCCACCAGCTATAAGTATGAGCCAATTGTCTAGAAAATGTGGGCACCTCAACGTCTCACAACCGTATGGGCCTTCAAGGCCTGTTAAAGGGATAGATTTACCTCTTTTGTTTACATGATACTGCTCTTTCCCCTCTATCTTGTTTAGTTTGAACCTCTCCATATGAAATATGTGTGTTGTTTGTTTACTCACTATCTATCTCTCCATAAACTTTGCCACTACCAGACAGTTGTCAATATCAAAATATGCTGCCCTGAACGACTGGACATCAAGTGCACTTATATGCCTTCTCCTTTCTATTAAAATATGGTCAATTTGATTGTCTTTCCTTCAGGAGTTGTCCAAATAAATTTACGAATGTTATGGTGTGAGAACGTTGTATTTTTGACAGTCACATTTTTTATTGTGGCAAGGTTTCTACTCTAACTCCATTATCATTACCAATTTTGTGAAAAACTCTTTCCAAAGTGATGGTTTGAAAATGTCTTCCCTACCTACTTTCGCATTGAAAGCTAATACAATTTTCATATGGTATTTTTTGAATTATCTTTGTCATTGTACTTACCAATAGATTCGTACACATTTTACTTGGGACCCCAAACTGCGAAAAATTATGCATACACCGGACATGGTGCAGTAATTTTTTATGCTATGAGAAGCTGGGTTTTAAAAATGGCGCCATTCGCGAACGTATGAAACAATTTATGAACGTTATGTAATGCGTTAGTTTGTTGTTCGGAAAGACACAAAATGGCGTTGTGACGCAGCGAGTTACATATCACGGATTAACATCAAGAAGTTCAGTGCACCGTTTCATTCGTTATTAATGTTATTGGATGCGTAGAAAGTATACAACTCTTTGATATGTTGGGCATAAAGAATCGATGTGCAGCATTAAATTGTCGAAGCACAACAACATTAACACATCGCTTTCCAAAGGATTACGAAAGGTAACGTAGTGCAGATTTTCGATAAGTGTGCCGTCTATGTAGCTCCCGCCACCGATTAAAATTGTTATATTTATTCCCTGCTGTCATTTCAAATTGCATAGTCGATAATGTATTTGAAATAGATAATTTAAGTAATTATGTATCGTAGTTATTTGTATTCGTTGATGAGACTGGTGGAAAATGGAAGTCATTATATATCCCATTTATTGATGTTGATCAATACAAAGTAACTTTAATGACGTGTTATGTATCATTTAAAAGCCGAAATGAAGTGACTGCAGGTTAAGTTGGATCAGAGAATGCTTTCTCAATATCTCATACCTAATACAAGCAATCCCAGCGTTTAAAAGTATTTTCATTTGTGGCCCTAGCACGTGTTAACACTTCGTATATACAGTAGGCCCAGTATTATTAAGTAGATCATTCCTGTTTCATCTGTATTTCATATGGCTGACAATTCTTGTGTTTCAAGTAAAGATATGTTAAGATAAATGAAGACATTGGCCATAAATTTATGATGTTATTTCGGTTCTGGCCAAACTTACCATAGATCTGTGTTAGTAGCCATATACAGCCAGGGCAAGAATTCAAACTGTAGGACATGGAAAGCATTGAAAGAATTATAAAATAAGTAGGAGAGTAATATGTGACAGTACTGTAGGAAAGAAGTTCATAATATCAGTTACATTACATGTATTAGCCTCAGAACCAAGTTTTTCTCAAAATGTTTTGGTGTGATGTTATAGTATTGTTTAAATTGGGCTTGCCATATGTGTCAGAGTGTTACTCATACTATATGTAATATGAGTGTGTGTACTGCAGTGTACAGCTTGTAGTATTCCAGTTTATCTTAGACATATTAAAATGTATTCATCATTTGCACCCTTCAGCTACTACATACGACTGAAGTAATGAACCCAGTTTCATAAAAGAACTATTTTTAAATGCAATCTGGAACAGATATTTTTCATGTTTGTGAACTTTGTATGTGTCACTCAGTAGTAATTAAATTTCTTCATTGGGGAGCTTGCCAGTGGCAAATAGCCTGTAACAGTTGAACTCTGTAAATATATACAAATTAAAATAGCAAGCTAATAGTAACACTAAGCTAAATATGATCAAGAAAAGGGAAAGTATCTTAAAGCAAAATATTATAGCTACTAAAAAGTGTAACAGTTGACAAATGCTGTGTGTACTGGTGGCACACCTATTTGAAGGACTAAGTGCTGAAGCGTTACGTTAAAGGTGGATATTACCAGTGTTTTTAATTGTCTTTGAAAATGTTAACATGAAATAAAGCATTGAGTTATCATCTGGAATAGAGCATTCTGAATATTAAATTGTAAAGTAAAGTAAGTAAACTAAAGTATCCCTGCAACAAGCCATGAAAACCCATAGGGTTGTAAGATGTTGAGGGTCCCACATTATCTAGACAATCGGCTCAAAGATGGCGGTAAGGTTGTAGAAAATTTAACTGTATATAATAGGAAAACTGGATAATTATGTGGCTATGTGGTATCAGTATGGGTATGATTTTCAAATGTGAACATTTGATGACCTAGCTTTAGTGGGAAGCATTTGAAACCGGAAGGAGTGCTTTTTATGAGGATTGTGTCAAGTTACACTGTTATTGGCAGTTTGAACAGAAGCGGCATGACATTCTTGGGAATGATATATCATGTGCTTTCTTCTTAAAAATGTGTTGCATTGGATTATCATGGCATTGACTATGAAGAGTGCAGTCTTCTGTGTTACAGCACTGTATAGTTCGGAGAAAGGCCGACCTTCAGGAGGAACATACCACTTCCATTTTTAGGGTCAGCTTGCTGCATACTCATCCTGATTTCTTGTTTGGCTTACCCTTCATCCCTGAAGATCATGATTGTTAGGCGTTCTCTGAACTATATGGTGTTATGACCCAAAAAACATGTTTTCCAGTATCCTTATTATTAGAGTACACATCAGTAATGCAACAATATAAAAGATATCAAGAATATGTCACTCACTAAAATGTATTTTAATACTTTATGATGTCAAAATCATTAAAATGTCAATAGGACACTAAAAGTATATTTTATACATTAAAAGTGATTATCAAAATTTCTGAAATGTCTCTAGTTTTACATGTATTTTTCTAGTTTTTTTTTTTTTAACAACATATTTCAGCCTCATATCAGGTAATTTTTTTTTCACTGTGCTCCTTTCATGCACATCAATATTTAGTTCAATCTCATGACTGGTTATAGAGTTTTATTTTTCTTGTGTCCATGTCTTGAGAGAGAATAGAATCCAGGTTAAAATTGAACCACCTTTGTATAATTGTAAAAGTCACTAGCATTATAGGAATATCATACCTTTTTAAAGTCACCATATGATCTTGAAACTGACTGTATTGACAAGAGTCCCTGTAAGACCCTTGAGCCAGATCAGTGAAATCCATATCCTTATGCCCTATTTAGGGATTGTTTTAATGTCCTCCAAATTACACTTAGGTTTTCCAGGACCTCTCTTTCTTACACTGTTTGCCTCGTAATTATACTAAGATTATAATTAAAAGTGAAGTCACATTTTACATTTTCTTGTTCCTTGTCCATAATTGAATTATACTGTATTTGTTATTTAGGTGCAGAATATGGGCAGAACGGGCTGGTTGCGCACATTTATTAGAAAAGGGTGTAGAAGTCCTTAACATGTCCTACAGACTTTGTTCAGATCATTTTGATGATAAATGTTACACATCTACAGAGAGGAGACGACTATCAAACTTTGCCCTTCCAGAAATATTCACCCACAACTCTGGTAAGATTTACTGTATGTGCAGAATCTCAAAGTAAGGCAATATAGTTTGCAGTTTTAGACCAGCGTTCTGTGCCATATCATGTACTGGAAAGGGATATAGGCACAAGAATTGCATATAAAATTTTGTGTGGAAAGTCTCAAGGCAAGATGCTCTTTGGTGGTTGGTGTGTATAAAGGATAATTATTCAACAAAGTCACTGGTTTACCATCTTACATGCAACACATCCTTCTAAAACTTGTTGAAAAATTTCTTACCAACAGTGCATCTTTTAAGCCTAATTTAAAAGCTTCTGTACATTGCAGTACATGTTTCTACCAACATTAATCATCATCGGTTGTTTAAGAATTGTTGGTGGAAACTGCTGTGCTTCTGTTTTGTGATTCTAATATTCATTATGTAAATTCCATCTGTGTGCTTGTGTATTTTATGGTGCTGTATGGCTAGACTATGAATATTTTGCACAACACAACAGGAAGAGACACCCAGCAATATAAAATACACAAACACATAGATAGGACTACACATTGAATATTAGAATCACTAAACAAAAGCACAGCAGTTTCCACCAACAATTTTTAAACGCCCGATGATGATTAATGTCGATAGAAACATGTACTGCAATATAAGAGACTTTTAAATAAGTTTTAGAAGGACACGTTACACGTAAGATTGTGAACCATTTACATTTGTTTAATAATAAGTGATGTGGAACAGGATGCTACAATATAATATTATAAAGGATAATATTATAATGGACCTTAGAAAATTAGATTATGAAGATGTGAACTAGATCAAAGTGTGAGGTCTGGGGTTGTCATGACTGAGGCACATGCTCCTGGGATGTGACACCATGTAGTTTCAGAGGAACCTGCTGCCTCTGTCTTCAGGTTAGAAGGAGATGGAGTGGCAGGTTTGTCCGATGCATCAGTAACCATCTATGTAACTGATACTCAGCTACGTTAACGTGCAGAAAATATACAAAATAAGTTTAAGGTCTTTTAGTAAGGGAAGGATTAGTTTTCTGTAATCAGTGTATGGGTCAGTACTTTCCCCTCTGTTCTCTGTAGTCAGCTAGTGCATCATCCCAGAAGACTGTAGCATCGAATTAAACTGGTTCGTGATAGGTCCCATTGACAATTAGCTTCAGCGAATACAAAAATAATTATGGAATTTCCTGATCAGGTGCGTAACTCTTCATAGCTTAAGGGAGTTAGGCTCATTGTTATATGTAACAAAATAACTTTCATTCTTTTACATGGAAATGAATACACTTAATCCTCATAGGAAGTTTAGAAACTGGAAACATCGACACCCAGCTTGAACATGACATATCAGAGGAACAAGGAGAAATAAGTGCTGATCTTCTGTGTCGTATTTGTGCATGTACAAGTGAAGACTTGGTTCCAGTGTTTGGGGAGAGAGGTTTGGAAATGCAGCTTCTTGACAAGATACATACACATCTACCTATTATGGTACAGTATAATAAATTAATATTATAATATATCCCAATATTTTTAATGCTGCTGTTCATCATTCATGCAGTGATAAGTATTGTATAGATATCCATGATAAGGTGCTGAATAAGAAAAATATCAAAGCATAACATTATTTTGGTTGTTTAATTAGAGAAGATACGTTATTTCACATGTTAAAATTGTTTATAGATAGTGAAAATCTATGCTTTTCAGCTTATGTAAGGGGGACAGAGGGCTTATGAGATTACCATACTGTCAGCATACTTCTCCCCCATCCACATCAACTTTTGAACTTCTTAAACGGTTTTCGTTAAAGTTGGTATGAATGTTATGCCATTGGTAGCCACCCAAATTTTGTACTTTATAACTTTCTACACTTATACTAATGTGACAGATGTGCAAACGTGTGAATTGGGGTTGCAATTTACCTTGGGTCCCTGAAATTGTATACGTCAAAAGATTATGGAGAAATGTGCAGCTTTTGTTAAAATCATTTATTTGAAGAATATAAAATAATAATGTAGCAGCAATGAGAACATTTTCTTTGGCTTTTAGTTTGAAGTGGTGTCTGAAAGAGAGAGTTGTAGCTAATGCAGTCACCTGCTTTTCTATGGATAGGTCAGTCTGACATTTCGGAAGGCACACTGGGAGTTCCTCTGGGGCACGCGGTAGCGTAGTTGGTTGAGGCACAATGCTACACGCCGGAAGGTCGCGGGTTCAAGTTCCAGTGAGGTCATTGGATTTTTTTCAATTGACCTAATCCTTCCGGCCGCACTATGGCCCTGGGGTCAACTCAGCCTCTAACAGAAATGAGTACCAGGAATAAATTAAATAATTTTCCTAGGGAGTAAAGCGCGGCCGGCACATAAGGCTGACAACCTTACTGCTATCTTTGAGCCGACTGTGCAGATAATGTGGGACCCTCATCGTCTCACAACCCTATGGGCCTTCACGGCCTGGTACAGGGATAGCTTTACTTTACTTTTACACTGGGAGTTCCTGTGCTTATCAGTATGTATGCACCCCCAGAATAGCTTGAGGGCACCTTGTCTATTTTCAACTTATTTTGAAAACTGTTACCGTCTTCCATTTGTGTAAATTTGTGTTGTTATTCAGTATTCTTGTTCTGTTCTGCATTTCACATAGGTAACTGCAGATGATCTGCTACCGATAACCGTGTGTATGGATTGTGTCTACAAACTAGAAATGTGCCATGAATTTGTTCACTCTTGTTTGGAAGCGGACACAAAACTGAGAGAATTTCTTGGTTTCAGTGCAGACAATGAGGTAAGCACCAATCACATAGGATTATGTTTCAGTTGATGTTGTTTTGCCAGTATTACTGTTGCTTGATTGATAGGTGCAGATACATAGATACAGAGTTGATGAAGAGTTGATCGAAGATGGTTTAATCTAATCCTTGTGGATAGATATGTATGTACACAGATAGTGATGTAGGACGAGGATTTTTCTTTTTACTGCCAGAATCAGATAGACTCTGGTGTCAACCCAGTCTCCCCTTTGTTGGGTACCAAAGACTCTTTTGAGAATAGTAAATTGGCCAGTGTGAAATAACTCACCATCTATTTCATAAGGTAAGAATGTGTGGATGTTACCTTCCTTCCTCCTATATGCCTGCATTATGTGGTGATTAGTCTCAGAAGCTGTTTCACCTTTATAGAATAGGTGCACACACATTCAGGATTTTCTTGGTTGCAGGAGTATACTGAGGAATATGGTGAAACTCAAAGTTCTTTAGAGATAAAAGAGGAATCAGATGATGACCAGGACACAGGTATGTTTGATGATTCCTGTGATAATCAGGACGGCGGCGGCTATATGGAGCACACAGATGTAATGGAAATTTCACAAGATGAACTTCATAGTGTAGATTCTTATGTACAAGAGGAATATGTAATTGAGGACTCGGCTGACGCGCAATTGGAAGATGAGGCCATTGCTGATCACATGCAGGAAGAGTCTGCTCATCTGAGATCAGAGCAATGTGAAAATGATAGAAGTCAGTCAGCGGTAAGAGAAATAAAAAATTATCCAAGTTCCCAGAACCACTTTTCTCTTCTGCCCCTCCTTTGAAGGTAGAAGAACTAAAGTTTGGTTAACAGATCACTTATGTTGAATGAGATTTTCCATAATTTACCTCAGTCTATCCAGCCAGCTGCTATGAAAGTACCTTAAAATAGGCCGCTACTAATCCACCTCCTTTCTTATTCTTTTTTTCAGAATCATTTTACTCTTTGTGCTTTTATATAATGAGTTTGACTGTAGAAGTGTTGTTATGTGAACTGAGAATCGGTTAAATAAGATTTATGCCATGTAACTAGAATTAAAAGGGATGAGAAAAGGTTCAGCATGCATTTGCTATATTGTTGTATTCTTCTAGGAAACAGAGAAACCAAAATTCAAAGTGGTAGTTGTCAAAATGAAGAATACACCTGACATGACTCAAGATGATCAGATAGAAAAAGCTTTGGGTGTTTTGAAGAATGTACAGGACACATCACATTCTGTAACTGAGTAAGTGTTTGAACATAGAACATATACCACTGAATCTGAGTGATATCGGTGTTTGTTTGGTAGTTTATTGGAGCGTGAATTATTTGACATGTGACCTGGAACTACATTTGTTGTTATTCTTTTTATACTTATTTTTATCCATGAAGTAGTAGAACTGAGAGGCTTATAATAGCTGTTTCACTTTTGGACCATAAAATGAATGAAGAAATTATTTGTAAACTACAAACTCCACAAATAACAGAATTTGTAGAACAGTACAGAAGAATTTGGAAAGAGCACAACAGGATGAGCTGTGACCAGATTCCAGAGAAATTATTAAACTATTAACCAAAGGGAATGAGAATTTGGGAGACCTCTGAAATTATGGAAGAATTCTGTTTTGTAATGTCTGTAACAGGTCTCAACAGGTCTAATATTGGAAAGGATAAGAATGTTGGTGATGATGAAGCTTGTTCCGTCAACTTTCATCCAAGAGTTGGTTTTTTCATCTTTTTCTGGGATCACAATGTGTTTGTTAATGCTGATATCTATGGGACGTCAGTACTTACTTACTTACTTACTTACTTACGGAGCTGAGCCCTTCTTGAGGACCTGCCAGTTGTGCAGCTACTCAAGAATTTCCCAGAATTTTATGGAACCCAAAGGTTTATTACTATGTTCACAAGAGCCCTCCAATGATCCCTACCCTGAACCAGACCAATCCAATCCATACCATCCCATTTTAATATTGTCAACCCACCTACGCCTTGGACTTCCCAGTGGTCTCTTTCCTTCTGACTTTCCCACCAATATTATATATGCATTCCTCTTCTCCCTCACTCATGCTACATGCCCTGCTCACCTCATCTTCCTTGACTTGACTTGAAAAGAGTACAAGTTATGAAGCTCCTCATTATGCAGTTTTCTCCAGCCTCCTGTCGCTTCATCTCTCTTCAGTCCACATATTCTCCTCAAACACCCTCAGTCTGTGTTCCTCCCTTTATGTTAGAGACCAAGTTTCACACCCATACAGAACCACAGGCATTATAGACATCAGTCAGTTTTAAAAATAAAATGGATATCCAGTTTGTATAAAGTGTAATTGAAACATGTATGAAAAGATACCAAGTAACATATGTCTCCAGGTTAAGACTGAATACTGTTATTGGAATGAGAAATAAGATGAAGAGTTCATTCATATATTGAAAATCATTTGTCTGAGCATTAAGTAAAATATGTGACTCAAAATGATGTGCCCCTATTTCATGACTGCCTTCACCAGAGACCTCATTCCTATGTGTACTGCCATCTGGTTCCTCAGTAATATGGCCGGATAACCAAACCGCCTTAGTTCAACCCCTGACAAGAGTGTTAGAATTTTTCTCTATATCATGACATCTGGGGTGGCACTAACTTCGCTGACAAGCGGCAGTCACTCGGTTGATATAGTTAACTTGCAGGCTAAAGCCATGGAGTTTTTTATATCGTTACAGCTGTGATGATTGTAGTTCTCTTCTATCTTATCTGATGATTGTTAGAGCAATTCTCTTGTAGCATGACGTTATCTGCTTTTCCCATAGCTGAAGGTGCTCTTATCCGTACACCGTATTTGCCTTTATGGTGAGATCCTTGGGCACAGATGGCACAGATATACCTATAATTTTTGTCTCAGTTATGGAAAGCTGCAAGGAATTGCCAGTGGTGCTCTGTGCATTATACAAAAATATGTAAAATGTTTTAGACATATCCCTCATGGGAATGTTTTCTTTGAACATTCGTTGTCTAGACAAAGGCCAGCATATTTTGAGGCAGGCTGTGTCTTCATATTCTGCCAGAAGATGCAGGTACTGAACATTAACCTCTATACTTTGGGTGGGAGGGTGTTAAATCCCATCCCCTAACCTTATGTGAGAGGAGTTTTCATTGGGGATATAAATTCAGATATGCCAAAGAATGCAGGCTCTGAAACTAGTAAAACCCAGTTATTTCCTAATAATCAAAATAAAAATTACTATCTTCAGAGTAAGAAAGGAATCCGTTTGTAACATCTTCAATAATTGTATGTTTAATAAACGTTTACTAACCGATGCCATGTCTGCTAGTATCTGATATGCAGTTGAGATTTCCAAAACCATTTACTCAGAAAAAAATCACTAGAGCAGCTCGATACACTAAATGACAACCTCGACCTGCATCTCAAAGAATATGCAAGCAGAATTCATGTGCTTCCAACATTGCTTGTGAGATGGATTCACAAACTACAAGCACTGATCTACGTGTAATGTGTGGCATTCCACATTGGCATAACATGCATAACTTGCAGTGCACAGCACTCAATAGTGATAATTCTGCACCCCCAGACAGTGAACAGTGTCCAAACAAAACACTCCCAGAGTTATGCTGAACCATCGTCAGAACCACATTTGTGTTAAGTGTTAGGTTTAGTTGGCCTGTTATGGTAATTGTAAAACAGAACATTTCCAAATGCCTTCCCTGCAGTCAGTATTTTATAATTTTGTTTTGAAATCATGTAAGATGTCATTCTTTCGGCACATTTTCCACACTTTCTTCTGTAGAGTTGTATACAATCTGTTGTGGGAAAAATGTATTTTGGGTATCATGTCTAAATTAGTAGGAACAACTCAGGTTATTGCAGCCACTGTTCTTAATCTATTTCATCAGTGTTTGGTTGCTATTTTTTCATAGGAAACAACATTTTGTTGATCAAAAAACACTGGAACAGTCACAAGAACAGGAACGATTATGTTTAAAATCATCTGACATTGAACTTCCTGATGGTCTCACAGTTTGTCTTTTTGATGAATCATCTATGTTGAATCTTCCTGGATTATCAAATGAAGAAACAACAACTAATATAAAACAAGAACAACAAATGTCACCAGATCTTTATGATGAAACTGTTTCAACAGTTTCTGTTAAAAATGAAGTACATGAAGAAGGAATTACTCAGGATGTTTCAAAGAAACCTTTGGTTGATCATTCATACACCCGTTGGGATCAGACAGTTTATAGTTGTATGTATTGCAAGAGAACATTTTTTGGTAAAGATAATCTTGTATCACATCAAACAGTTTCTCACCCTGAGAAAGTATTCTGCTGTCCAGAATGTGATATAATCGTTTATGAATCTAAACAGTTCTTTGAGGAGCATGAGAAAACTCATTTAAGCAAACCGGAATGTGGTGAAAATACTCTCAAAGTAAATTGGCACATGAGTGAAAATTGTTGTTTGACAGAAAGTAAATGTGTGGTATCAGATAATGGCAGCATAAGTGAAATGATTAATTCTAGAGAAAGCAAAATAGATGATGAGGCTCACAAAGCTTGTTCATTAGAAACAGATCTTAAATCTGGTATGGCATTGCCACCAATGAAAATGTCAGAACAGGATATGTCATCTTTACATAAGAAGGAGGCAGACACACAGAATATTGTTGAAATTATGAGAGTGGCAGAAATTTTTGTTGAACCAGAAAGATCCATCCTGAAAAAAGGGCCATTTCAGAGCAATTCAAAATTCCGTGTGAAAATATGTAAGAACTTTGAAAATGTTGAAAGTAATGTGAAGTCAAAGGTTATAAGAGCAATTAGGGGAATTATTAAGATGTCAGAAAATGATAGAAAAGTTGTAGGAAAAGAAAGGCCATGCCAGAATAGTGAAGAAGTGCAGGAAAAAACCAGAACTCAAGAAATTACAGCATGGAATGAGATGAAGAGAGAAGTAAACCACAAATATTGGAAATGCAAGCGGTGTGACCACTTATCTGTTTCATGGGAAGAGCATCGCAATCACATACGGGAGCATCCTCCGGTATCATTTCACTGCACTTGCTGTGATAAGGAGTTTCCTTCCAAGGCAAGACTTCAGTGCCACATGTTTGTACACACACAGGAAAAACGTTTCATCTGTGAATATTGTGGAAAAGGTTTCAGTAACAAACACGCTCTCAAGAATCATCAATACACACACAATGAAGGGGAGAAAACATTTGAATGCCAAGACTGTGGAAAAAAGCTTGGGACAAGAAGGGGCTATGACAGTCACTGTGCTAGCCATACCGAAGCTTCATGTCTCTGTGATGTTTGTGGCAAGAGCATGAAACATCTCAATAGTCTGCGGTTGCACAGATTGACCCACATTGATCCCAATTTCTTCAGAAGATGTTGTACAGTTTGTGGGAAAACTTGTCGGAACAGGTGAGTCATGTGCTCCTACTTCACGGAGAAATCGTTTGCAAGTATGTTAGTGTGAATGGGGGTTTTGATCAAGTTTCTTATTGACAGAGTCACTGAAGTATGAAGAGTCCCGTCTTCTGGAATGTAATACCGTGTAGTCCAGTAGAAGTTCGCTGAAGTTCCAGCTTCCTGCCTGGTTGTTGCTGATTTCCTGCTTGGCTTATTCTTTGATCCTGCAGATGTGGGCAGTACATTCTTCAGAAATGTCTCAGTGAATTTTTGACTGCTCTGCACGACATTACATCCCAAAAGATAGTGCATTTCATAGTCACTGCTGTGAGAACCTGAAGTCCAATCACCGAAATGTGTTTTGTTATAAATGTTCAGATAGCAACCCAGATCACTCTTAGATAGGCATGTGCGATATCAAATTTTCAAATTCGAATTAATAAAAATTTTCTTGATCTTAATTCAGATTTTAGTTTTTTGGTGTTGAATGTGGAGAAGTTTCTTATAACCACTTTTACTTTGCACATCAAAGCCTTATGTCAGAATGTATCAGTTTTGTATTTGCCAGAATGGAAGACAAGGTTGGTCATCTTGAATATGTTTATGTATATTAGATGTTCTTAATCTGTTTTAAGCTTGTGGCATGTTCATATCAGATTCTGTATTATCATGCTATGAGAGAGAGAGACAAGTTCATAGGTATGAGCCTTCATTAGGTTGCCCAAGTAATATCTGAGTTATACAACAAATGCTGTAATTTGCAGATTTATGTAATGAGATTCTGTGCTCAGACATTTGTCTTTCACCATAAAAGTTGCAGATCATGTCAGAAGATGTACTAGTGTAGAAGGAAACAATGTATCTGAACATACTGGGGAAGTTTTGATTCATTCTTTAACATTATGGTGATTAAACATTCAGATGAAGCAGACAGCTGTGAAGAGTCTGAAGGAAGAAACAACAGTGAGAGGAAATTATGCCTGTTCTACATGAATGGCATATGTTTGTATGGTTTTAAAGGCAGAATGGAATGTCAGTTCAGTGCACTATCATCAGCATTAGCAAACAGTAATTTAAATCCAACAGCATACAAACAGTGCTGGGAAATTCCACTTTGCAAGAAGTTACCACCACATGAAGTGGTCATACCAGGAAGAGTGACCTAATAACTGCATGTTCTAGTGAGTGAGCCTTTTATGGATCATCTGTAACAGTTGTATTCTGAGTGGCTCTTGGCAGGGGACCATGTTACACCACTGGGACAAAAAGAAGACTGACATAGAAATGATATTCCAGTGGATTAAGACCAGAAATGATAGTCACTGGATTTCAAAAGAGCCCTATGTCTGATGAAATGGGTGGGGGTACAGATGAGAATACCGGCAGTGAGTGTAAGAGTGAGACACATGATAGGGATGATGAACAGAGTGAAACCACTGAAGCAGAATAGAGGCTAGTGACTTCAGTAAGGGCCAACTTAATATATATATATAACATTTTTTCTGTTATTAGTTTTTTGCGTGTTTGTAGTAAGAGTGTGAAATTAATTCATAATTTTTTTTCCATGCAGACTTCTTTTTGAATCAAGTTTAATTTGGTTAAATGCAGTAGTACACTAAAACAGTGGCTACTATTAACAGATTTTTATAGTGAAAAGAATTGGTCCACTAGAGAAAATTCTCATCTCATATCTCAGAATTTTTACAAATTCTTGTGTTGAACTGAAGAAGCCGTCCTTACACGTGCCTATTATTTAAGCCTTGGTATTGAATCAGATAGATTCTAAAGGGTTCTGACGATGGTGTGCAGCAGAGTACCAGATAATAAGTCCAAAAACCCAGTATTTCTGATCGAATCAGATGTAGTACAATGCTGCAAATTTTGAAATGAATTCTTATTTAAATAAACACATTTCCTTTTATTAAGTTATGAAAAAAATTAAAACCAGTTCCAGAATGTTGTCCCTTTAAATACAGATACCCTCGAAGTAATGAGACAGGCAGCAAACTAGTATCATCATTCAAGTTTTATGCATCAGCGGAAGTCCAGACTACTCTATTAGCCCAAGCATGTAACTGAATATTTGTGGTAAATTAAAAAGCCATGATAGCCCAGTAAACACACACTGGCTATGGGGTACAATGATGTTGAGATTTCCTCTGTACCTCTTTTACAACAGACATGGAGTCTACTTAGCTTCCTGTTGAACCGATAGTGTGTATACTTTCTTAGGGGATGAAGACAGCCAGCTTGTGAAACTCCGGTATTTATTGCTACAGAACCTTATCTGCATGTACCAGTGTGTTGTGATGGTTTTGCCCAGGGATATGTTTACTATAGTATTATTCTGAAGGACTCAAACAGGGACAGCCCAGTCAGAATGACTGGTTATGGCTTGGACTTCTGGGATTCTGTTCCCAGAAAGTTAAGGGAATTTTTCATTGTTAATACATTAACTATTACCGGCCATGGGGATTCGTTGCCCTGACCGCACGACATCCTCTATCCGCTAAAAGTTGACACTAACTTTGTTGATAAGTGGCGGTCGCTTGGTAGGTATAGTTCACTTGCGGACTCAAGCCACGGAATTCTTTTAATACGTTAACTAGCTCTGGCACCCACCCAACTTTCCCTGGAGGTAAAGCATCCGTATAATGCTAAAGACTTACACCTTTGTATTCCTTCATGGCGTAGGCACAAGGGGAACTTTCCCATACCAAATAAGAAAGAATGAAGACCTTCAGAATTTTATGTATACATTTATCTCTCGGTTCAGTTAACGACATCAGTATTATCATCTTGTAAGTATGAGGCCATATGACCTTTTACAGATTCATGCCATCTCTTCACTGTTCTTCCCAGATTTCTCTTTCTTCTAGGCTTGTATGCTATAATCTGTTATGTTATGTTTCCTGATTTTCTTACTTTGCCAGTTTTCGTTAAATTTGATAAAAGCAGCATGCCATTGGATAGCATCTTATCTTGGTAAGTTTTAAACTCCATCTTCAATAAAAACTTGTGAGTTACAGTCACTGCTGTTGTATAATTTAGGGTCTCAAAAATGTGTATATGTTTGAAAATGTATAGCTTCTGCTAAGATAATCTGTTTTAGAACAGTTGGAAATAATTTGATATGAAACAGTTTCTATGTGATAAGTGATGAATCTTCGTAACTTGACTTGAGAAATTGGTATGGTGGCACATTATAAATCCATCTGACATTACAGTGAAACCTGTGTATATTGGCCACACGTGGTTCCATTAAAATCAAGCAAATCAAGCAGGTGCCTAACTCAGATAATGTAACTGAAATTTCCAGTTTTGATGGCGATACTGACTACTGTATTGTGTTATATCCATCAATCACAACTTTTTGTTTTTAATAATTGGTGTCCCTTGAAATGTTACTATACTACATCTTTCAGTCATTTTGACCATCATCTTGTGTTTTAATAAACAATTAAATGTGTCAGTGTTCGTTACTGAACCGCTTACGCAACAGATCCATTGCTGTTGGTCTTATCATCTATAATAGAAACTAGTATATATAAATACATATACATATGAGTACTTTTAGGTTACAGTGTTTAAAAATATTTATCAATAATTAGTAAAATTTCATAAATTGAATATATNACGTGAATCTATAAATGTTCTTGGTGCAGTGCTTAAATATTTAAGCACAGGGACAGATTTACTGGGGGGAAAAAAAAAAACAGCTGGCCTATGGTAAATTGAATAAGAGACTGCGTCAGTTAGCAGAATGGTGACCATCACTTGCAAAGAAACAGCAGAAAGTGTGCTTAGCAGGTGCATACAAGGGACAGATGAGTTTTCATTTGTACAGACTAGTCAAAATAGAAATATTGATCATTTTTGTGTGTAGCCAACCTAGCAAGATTAAAATATGTACAGAGCCACAGCATGAAATGCTGGAAAGTGGACCGGATGCAGATAGTTGACCATTTGTAACTTAATACAGTTCTGCCAGTGCCATAAAAAATGTGACCAACCTCACACATTTCACTGTAGTATGAGTGGCGCAAAGGCGTAAAAGGGCTGAGTCTTTGGAACTGTAAAGGCAGCTCACCAGTGGGGAATACTTTTAATACGCATTAATTTAAAATACAGAATTGTTATATAAATATAGCTATTGAAAATACCATACCAAATCATAAGTGAAATCACAAAGAAATTAAGAATAGATTTGCTTTGTGGGGAGTGCTTTCTGCAGTTCAATTCAGAATCTTTTGTGTTCCCATTTCCTCTCTAAATCTTATGGATTAAAATACGCAGAATTATAGTTTTACTTGTTTGGTGTACATGTGAAATTTGGCTTATCACCATAAGGGAAGGTTAGATTAAATTTATTTGGAAACTGGGTGCTAGGGAGGATATTTGGACTTAAGGAAAAGGAAGTAACAGAGACTGGAGAATGCTGCAAAATTAATGTTTCATAATTTGTACTCCAAAACGAATTTTATTAGGGTGAGGTAGTGAAGGAGAGAGAGATAGGTGGGGCATGTACCATACTTGAAGGGAAGAAACCATTTTGGAGACATACATAAATGGAAAGGTGCTACTAAAATGTTTCTTAAAGAAACAGGGTGTGAGGATGTGGACTGGATTTAACTGGCTCAGGATAGGATCCAGTGGCTGGTTGTTGTAAATGTGGTAATAAACCTTTTGAGTTCTGTAGAAGGTAGGGGACTTCTAGACCAACCGAGTGACTGTGAAGTTGTCAAGGACTCTGGTCAGTGAAATAAATAAAACAATTGTATGTTGCAGGTATCTCCTCACAGAACACATGCGTGTCCACAGCGACGAACGCCCTTACAGTTGTACACAGTGTGGAAAGTGTTTCCATAAGAGAAGTCAGTTGTCTCAACACATGGTGATTCATGCTGATGCTCGTCAGCACATATGCTCTGTGTGTGGAAAAATTTTTAACCGTTTAGGAAACATGAAGATGCATGCAAAGACACATGAGGACTCGAATAAATCCATGTGCAAAATCTGTAAGCGCACATTCAATAGCATGGGGGAACTGATCAGTCACCGCAGGACACACACCAAAGAAGAGATCGAAGAAGCGATGAAACAGCCCGAAAATCAAGGTGCTGAGCCTCTAGTGTTTGTGTGTGATGTATGTGGAAAGCAGCTAGCAAGTAAGCTCACTCTTAAATATCATATGATGATTCATGCAGGAGATAAACCCTTTCGCTGTGAAATATGTGATAAGAGATTTGCTCTTAAGACAAAATTGCAGTTACATGAGAGGATACATAGCAGTAAAAAGCCTTTCCAATGCAGTTTCTGCACTGAAGGATTTCAGACCAAACAGTATAAGATCATCCATGAAAGGATACACACAGGTGAACGACCATACAAATGTATGCAGTGCACTAAAGCGTTTCGTTCTAGAATGCTGCTTAACCAGCATATGTTAGTTCATTCAGATTTGAGACCATTTAAATGCTCTCTGTGTGATAAGAGTTTCAGACGTCGGGACACACTTGACACACACATGCGCATACACACTGGTGAACGACCCTATTCCTGCAACATTTGTGGTCGTGGTTTCAAACAGAAAGGAGACTGCAACAAACATCAGAGGACACATTTCAAAGGACGCAAGACAGCTGTGCAAATACTTGATTCTGCAGGTTCTGTGATCTTTAGTTGTGCGCTCTGTGGGGCTCACTTTGACCTGAAGGAGGAACTGGATGCTCATTTTGAGGCGTATCATTCATCTGATGTAGTAGTCTCTTCAAATACCATGATAATCAATACAGAAAATCTTGTTCCAGTTACAGAAATTGCACAAGATGAAAAGCCTATAGTATTGACAGACTACGGGCAAGAATGTGATGCAAGTTGAAATTGTGCTGGTATCAAAAACCTGTTTTGTGAATATGATGAATACACTGAGGCATTGTTAGTCACATTTTAGATTGATTTCATATGCCATATTTACCTAAATATAAGACAGAAGTTTCATTCCTAATTTAGAATTTTGAAAAACAGAGATGAATTTGAAATTGCATACAAAGCAAAAAAATTCACTGTGGCAAATGTTTTATGTCACCCTAGTGCAGAACTCTTTTTAAGTGTTTCTGCCTGGCTGAGGTAACATTTCCATTCATGTCACAGGTAGACTGCCCTTTGTTCTATGTGTAACTGAATCATGTCATAGCAAAAGAAAGCTTGAAGTGAACGGAGCAAAATGCAGTGTTATTGAATGGTCCCTCCATTCTATTGCAGGAAGTGGTGAGGTGCCGGTTGGCACCGTTACAAGAAGTAGCTTAAGCAGTACAGTTTTGTTGACCTATTTACATCATGGGCAACCACAGGGAGAAGTGTGAAATATATTAGTATTGTAAATCAGATTTCTAAAGCAGTGAAATGTACTTATGACTTTAAAAAAGTTGTTTCTTTGTGAATTTAAGTTCCAGAGAGGACTCTCATACATTTAGTTTGTCCTATATTCAGATAAAGATTGTATACATTGAGTGAAAAGGTGGGGGGGGATAGCTCAGTCAAAGCAGTGACTGGATAAGAGTTTGATGAGCAAGGTTCAGTTCCTGATACTGGCAGTGATATTCGTCTCATCCAGAACAGCTCTGGCATACGCACTCCCTACTTGGGATTGTATTCCTTAGGGTAAACCAACATGAAAATGAAACTTATGAGCTGTGCAATATGAAGATCTCTTAACTCCATGCCCCTTCTACACCTTTCTGGCATGGTGCTTCAGCACAAGAGGGACTTCGTATATTGTTTAACTTGAAAAATTATACTGTGTATGTGTGTTTATGTATATATTAGTATGGTAGAGAGGTGTACTGACCAGATGATAATATTTGTGCTCATCAAATGACACTGCTCATCCATACGTTATAGAGAGGTTTGAAACAGTGTTAGTTAAGTTGAAGAAACTGGAGTGGTCTGATCCCTCTTCATTTGCTAAAAATACAGAATAAGAAACGAGAATGTTATTGCAGTCAAGTCTTGGCTGATACAAGCTGTTCTGCTGTGTATTTCATGGTTTTGTTCAGTCACACTGGCCAAATGTCTACAACCTGTTGCTTTTCAGTTGTATTTTTTCCTTCAGAATATTCCTTTTGTGACAATACATTCATGCTGGAGTTAATGCTGAAAAACAGACCTTAGACTTACAGTTTATCTGCTACCAGCCAGCTGATGGAACTTTCAAGGTACAGTGTAAACAGAAATGGATAAATATACACATCAAAATGATGGTATGTGGAGATATTTACTACTACAGAATTTGTTACAGTATATGGTTGCCCTAGCTGTTAGATGTTCTATGTGGAACCCCACAGAAGAATGAAGAGTTCTTTCACATTATATACTATTAATCACTTCCATATTTTTAGTTGCTGTACACGTGTTAATTGATGGATTATGTAAATACACATTTTTATTGCTGACTTGTGCATTTTATTAGAGCATATTTATTCTCCTTAGCAGGTAGAGCGTCTAACATTCAACTTTAACACATTAGTTTCTGTAATATAACTAACATTTAATTTCTTTAAAGAAAGTTTAGTCCTTTATGTTTCTAGGTATTGGATAGATTTTAGACCTCTGGGGTATGGCCAAGGCACATGGAGATACAGTTGATTGCATAAACTTTGTAAGGATCAGATGACTCGATGTCATTGAGGATTGAAGATAGGGGTGATGACATCATACAGGAAGGAGAAGAAAATTACCACCCAAGCTTGCCTGCCCAGAGTGCTAACAATGCAGAGCATTTGAAGGTACCAGTAACCTCTCTGAGATCGAAGTTGAAAAGGTATAAATCACCAGGTACTGATCAAATTCCAGCAGAACGTGAAATATTACATTCTAAGATCCATAAGCTAATTATATTTGGCGTAAGGAAAAATTGCCTGATCGTTGAAATGAGTCTATTATTGTACCAGTTCACAAGAAGGGTGATACTTACCGTAGTAATCATCGTGGAATATGACTGCTATCAACTTCATATAAAATTATTGGGGATCACCAGTGGGTTTTGATATAACAGATCAACTAATCAGATCTTTTGCATTCATCAGATACTTCGAGAAGAAAAATGGGAGTACAATGAGACAGTACATCAGCTATTCGTTGACTTCAGGAAAGCCTATGATCCAGTTAGAAGAGAAGTGTTGTACAGTATTCTGATAAGGGTGTGGGGAACCTATGAAACTAGTTAGGCTGATTGAAAAGTGTTTTGTAAAGGCTGTATAGGTATACATTTTTCTGATGAGTTTCCTATACAAAATGGTATAAAACAGGGAGATGCTTTGTTGGCACTGCTTTTCAACTTTGCTTTAGAATATGCCGTTATGAAGGTCCAGGAAAACCAGGTGGGACTGAAATTAAATGGAACACAGCTGCTGGTGTATGCTGATGATGTGAATCTGCTGGGAGATAACATACATACCATAAGGGAAAACACAAAAATTTTAATTGATGCTAGTAAGTAGGTTGGGCTAGAAGTAAACGCAAAGAAATCTAAGTATACATTACTGTCTCATCACCAAAATGCAGGGAAAAATCATGATATAAAGATAGGTAACATCCTTTGAAAATGTGGCACGGTTCAAATATTTGGTAATGATAGTAACAAATCAAAATTTGATTGAGGAGGAAATTAAAGAGAGATTGAATTTGGGTAATGCTTGCTGCCATTCAGTCCAGAACCTTTTTGTTTTCTTGTCTTCTGTTAAAGAAAATTTTTAATATACAGAACTATAATTTTGCCTGTGGTTTTCTATGGGTGTGAAACTTGTTCGCTTGACATTAAGGGAGGAACATAGACTGAGGGCATTTGAGAACAGTATTGAGAACATTTGGACCAAAGAGAGATGAAGTGAAAGGATACTGGAGAAAACTGCATAATGAGGAGCTTCATAACTTGTACTCTTCTCCAAGTATAATTAGAATGATCAAGGCAGTATGAGATGGGCAGGGCATGTAGCAGCAAATGGGGGAGAAAAGGAATGGATATAGGATATTGTGGGAAAGCCAGAAGGCAAGAGACCACTAGGAACACCAAGAAGTACGTGGATGGATAATATTAAAATGGATCTTAGGATGGGGTGGTATGGAATGGTTTGATCTGGCTCAGGATAGGCACCAGTGGAGGACTCTTGTGAACACAGTAATGAACCTATGGGTTCCATAAAATGTTGGTAAATTCTTGAGTGTCTGCATATGTATCCCCCCATAACAGCTTTCGAAAACCTGAGACCATCTCGAGCATATTTCACAAACAATTGGAACATCTGTCATATCACTGTCTCATCAACAATAGTAACACTGCAGCCTCATTGTTGAGGTAATATCACTTGATTTCTTGAAACAACTGTCACAAAATTTTGTATGTTATAATACCATCTGAAGCCATCTTAGCAGCATCATCAATCCCTCCCATCAGTAATACCAATGCTACAGTCTTTCAAACTGCTGAGGTAATACTTTGAATTGAATTGATTATGAAACTGGTATGTTTATCATGTGACCTGAGACCATCTCAACAGCTTATTTCATAAATTCCCCCATTAGTAATACCAACAGTGCAACCTCTCAAATTGTAGAGTTTCTCTGAAGCTCATTTCTGCTTTTCCAAGAGTTCCTTGCACTTTCCGATGCTCTTGGAGTATTGCATGCCTATATTTTCATTTGTAACATTAATAGTTAATTGCATTAGATAGGTTGCTTTTCTTTGAACCTTAATTAAGTCAATTTGTCCCACAGATTCTTAGATGTCACAAGGCCGCGCCATAGCTCAAGTGGTTAATCGCTGGCTTCCCACCACGGCAGCCCGGGTTCAATCCTGGGTCTGGACAAAGTGGCACTGGGGCAGGTTTTCTCCAAGTACTTCGGTTTTCCCCCGCCAATCTTCATTCCACCAATTGCTTCACAATCACCCTCGCCTATCATCTGGGGCTGGTACAATAGGCCAGAAGTGGCCGCAGTACAAGGGACTTAGTCCCACCCCACTAGCGATAAAAAAAATAGATGTGTCACATAATGTTTTGCAGAACTGTTAAGCCACATCTTTGGCCATATGGGCCAAAATAAATTAGGTTAAACATTTTAGGAAACTCAATTCACATACAAATGACTTGACAGCTCATGTAGACGTATGACATGCATCAATGACGGTTTCAAGCCCCATCTCAATAGTATTTTACAATCTTACAGCCCCCCCCCAAAAAAAAACTTAAAGAGCATTTGACAGGAAACTAAAGAATTTTGGTCACTGTGTCATCGCCACATTTATTGCAAATTATGGAAGAAAACGCAGATATACAAGGAATATACTTTAATAATATAAAAAAAAAACGTAATTTAACCTAATAACAGAACAAAAGAATAAAAGATTCACCAAACTAAACAACCCTTACATATCAGCTAGACTGGTGTATAAAAGCAACAAAGTAACACTTTGCCAGCATTAAAATCTTTGGTAAATAAACAAGAAAATTTATGTTATGTATACACAAACTACATGCACATGAATGTCATTAACAAATCCTATTGTGTACTTTTCAGTATATCACACTCCACAAGATGAAGTACCTACAAAGAAAAGTTAAAAAAGTTTCATCAGACACCCAAATATCTTTATTACTTAATATTCATATGAGAAACAGAATTTTTCAGGAAAACTTAACCATGCTAAAGTGGACACACCTGTAATTATTAATAGTTTTACATATTTTCCACAGATAACATTTTAATCCATCAACTACAACTGCAAACTAAGGTTATTACAAAAACATTAGCCTGACCTTGTTTTCAAAAGAATTATGTTTCTGGTAGTAGAATCCAAAGTTTCTGTAATACAAGTACAAACTCAGCGCCTGGGTATTTATGAAACTATGTATAAATAGTTGAAGCAAACAGGAAATACCATATAACACTGTTTTTCCATCCTTTTATATGCCAGACTGTTTGCTTCAACTACATGTAGATAAACATTTCAGGACTGCACATGGCCTATCTGAATTTCCTATACATACAGCCATAATTCTTTGAAGTAGTCCAACTTTAACATAAAGATACTATCAACACAGTTCCTTTCAAATCTCTCTCCCCCCTCCACCACCAATTTTCATGTACATATCTCTCACTTCATTACTTTCAGGAACGACTTCAATTGTTTGTTAATAATGGATTACTGAATACCATACATGAAATGACTCAGCATTTCTTCTGCCATCTGCTACACGTGTACATGCTTTACAGGATCTGATCCATTAAACAATAAATTTCAACCCCCTAAATCATAAACAAATCAGTTCATTTCACGTTCATGCCTACACAATACAGTTACAGATACTGTCATGACCGTATAATACCAGTATGAATGGATTCTTAAAGAGCACGGTCATATCAAATTAATTACAGACTAGAAGCTTCGAGCATAGACCTCTAAAACAGCGCAACTCCCTAATTTCACTTAGGTATTAAAGTACGAAACAAAGATATGCATGTAACTGATCCTACTTCTGTTCAGACAGCATGCAAACAGAAAGTTTCAACATCGGAGTAGAAACGTACATTATAATCAATGAGCATAAAATTCAGTCTCTCTTATTTCATTCGAAATGTCAGTGATATCACAATGTTACACAAGTGGAGGACTGGTAAGGGTATCAGCATTGCTATCCTGTGTCTGTGAGGTGCCTTCCCTCTCACTTCCTCCTTCAATCTTGTTTTCTTGCCCGGCGGAACTGTTGGTACTATTGATGAGGCGCTGTCGTTCCCGATACATGCTAACTCTCATGTTCTCCAGCTGGTGGTAGCGACACAGCTTCAGTACTGCAAACACTGTGAGGCCAACCCAGCAAGCCCACGACGCCCATGCTCCAAACTGGGCGGTCCCCATTTCAATAGGGAATCCAGACGTGTCAATACCATCAGCAAGATCAATAGCATTGCCTGCAGCTAGGTCACAGCTGTAAATACAATACATCAAAGTGTTATTTAGCTAGCATAATAACCATGTACTAATATAATTTTATAATACCAGCTTCTTGCAAATTATATTGACTTAGAAGAGACTACATTATCCACATAAGTTCAGGAATAAGGCTAAATATACAATATTGCATGCTCTATAAAATGTGACTAATGAATCTGCTTTCAAACTGTAACAAAAATTTGCTGAGGGGCTATGCTACAAGCCGAAAGGTCGCAGGTTCAAGTCCCGATGAGGTCATTGGATTTTTTTCAATTGATCTAATCCTTCCAGCTGCACTAGGCCCTGGGGTTTACTCAGCCTCTAACAGAAATGTACTGTCTTCGCTCACTTTGAAACCGGGATCGTGGGTTCGAATCCCACTCAGGGCATGGATGTTTAGTTTGTGTGTGTGTGTGTTTTTCTGTTTGTGCACAGGTAGAGACCTTGCGACGAGCTGATCACCTGCCCAAGGAGTCCTACCGAATGTGTAAGATCTAGAAAAACCGAAGTGAACGGAGAAGTTCATGGAGGTAGGCCTAGGCCCGCTGGGGCTGTAGTGCCAAGGAAAAAAAAATATTGAAAACTGCCAATATGGATGCATTAAAGTTCCTGTAGAGTTTTTGAAGGATGAATCCAGTAAGGAAATAATGTTAAGAGATAACGCCTCTTCCAAGTTATTGATACTGGGTTTCTTGGTTTTGTACGTCATCTAGTCTTTCAAACAGAACAAAATCTTTTGGATACTGGATCTACAGCCATACTAAAATGAAGAGAGAAGTAGGTATATGCGCTGTAGGGTTCAGTAAAAAAACTACTCTCCACCACCAGAATCCAGGGACCTATTCACCTGAATGGCAGAAACAGATCTAATTTCTGGAACATTATGTTTTGTGTGCGATACAGACATACATAATGGGAGGCCTAACTGCTGGCCCTTCCACCATGACCTTCAATCATCTATTGTGCATACTGCTCTATTTTAACACTATGAATGAATTGTATGATTTTTCTGTGTGAAATATCAGACAATGGACAAAATCCAGAAACCAAGTAAATATCAAATGTAATTTACTGTCACTAGAATACTCCTGCATTGATATTCCTAGGTGTTTTAACTTTGCGGTTAGGAATTTGCCAAGGAAGGACAATGCTCAATTGAGGAAGTAGGGCCAAGTTAGAAGCTCACTGATTATTCTTCAACTTACGAGGGAAACCTCTTTGTCATCTCGTCACACCAAACAAGAAAACCAAGTGTAATCATGAGAGCTGCAACTATTGTCATAGCACACAGGAAAAGACTGCCAACAACATCAACAAATGCTGATAAAAATGAACTGAAACAAAAGAATAAATCTCATTAACTTATTGAACACTATAGCCAACTACTGCTACAATTACTGTCAAAAGATATTATAACGAACACTGACCTGTTATTATAGTCACATTCATAAATATTTTAAACCTTACCTATCTGTGCCTTTGTATAAGTACAATGACATTCGATAAATCTGTATCGCTGACGTAACAAAGAGAATCACACCAACAAATATTGTGTAGTTGCAATATGCTTGAGAAGCCCAATCAACTTTGAATTGGCCATCTCCCTCCTGCCAGACTCCAGTTGAAAACAACAAGCAATGACCCCTGAAAGTATATTTAGTTCCATATAATTTACAAACAAGTTTATTTAAAAGCAGTATGATAGATAATTCATTAAAATCCTAGTCAGCAGTTAAACACTTTTAGGAAGCAGAAAGCAAGGAACTATAAAACAATTTATCACATTACAGTATATTAGAATATGTTGGACATACCTCATAAGTAAAATTCTATTACAATAAAATTCAGTGGATCTGAATAACTGATACATTACTATAATACAATTAATTACAATTACAATAATACAATGACATTTCTTGAAACAAATTTCTTCCTTTTAAGTTCCAAACTACTAAGGCTTTTGCTGTTGGATTGTGTAATTCTAAAAATGCAAATTTAAGCTTGAAACTGAAATGTTCAAGAATTACTGAACCAAACTATAGGATGATGTTTCCCTGATTTTTATCTGTCAATTCTCCCCTCATTTCCTTCATTCTACTAACTTTATGTGTATCTTGACTTCGCTTATACTCCAAACATTAAGTATTTTATTTTTAATTAACGCTTATTTAACAATGCTGTCAGTAGCTCTAACTATACAGCATTAAATAATGAGGCAGCTAGTGAATAATGAATTGGAGAAGTGTGAAAGGGAACAGTCATGGCCTAATTTGAAGTTCTATCTCAGCATTTCCCAGCAGGGAAATAGGAAAACCACGGAAAACACGAGAACTGCACGTCTTTGAACCGAGATTTCACTCTGGAACATCCTGAATTAAGAAGCTACACACTTTATTGCAACCTTCAGTAATCTCATACTTATTTTATGACAACTAAATGGCTTCTCTCACATCTATATTAACTTCGATCCCTGGAAAGCATACAATATAGCTGTAAACATCAATATACTCACTTAAATTCATCTTGGTGTAGGCTCATCGGTACTGTAATGCATAATGACAGAATCAAAGCTATTACATAGCCCGCGATCTGACTCAGTAAAAGAATATTCGTAAGAGCCATTTTTCTAAATACGAAATACTACGAATATATTAAGTTCAGCTGTTCACTTTAAACTTATTTTGTTCAAAATACGTTTCAGTCTACCAAACTGTAAATCTCACTGACTGCGAACATAACAGTGAGCACCACTATGCAGTTTAAACGCAAACATCATCTGTTTCCGACAATTTACACTACGCCCATGACCCTACGACTTGTTTCATACAATCTCATACGATATTATTGTTATTACCAATGGAGTCGATTTTCAGCTATCGATACAAACAACTTGTACTCTCGATCCTCTCGATCCTTTGGATCGCCCTTAGATATATAGTGATAGGCGTCATAGGTGGTCGGTATATGACTGTGGTCACACCAAGGAAACTAGCAACTGCAATGCAACCGAAATTTCCGAAAAGAATCGCCGATTTCAAGCAGGCAACTGCTTTTCAGATTAGCAGGCGCACACTGAAGAAGCTTACGTTTGAGTAGTTGCTCACATCATGTTAAGTTGAACAAATGTTACTGAAGGGAGCAGCGCAAATTGAGGAATCGGCAACGCGGTTTGCGGTTGCCAGTTTTCTTGTTGTGCCCTCGCCCTTATATTCTTTCGAAAGAACATAACCTGAATCCAGACTCCTTTGTCCCATGAAAAATTCTTTCCAAAGCCAAATCTAATTTGTCCTGCCTAGCACAGTCTGGGTGGCGTTTGTCATATATATACTAGGCTCTTGCTCAATGAACTTCACAAAAATGAAATTAACAGCTTCGTCAACCTTTCGTACCATCAAAACAAATGAATCACCGAAGCGCATTATAGAACAGCTGACACTTGAAAACCAAGCGACAATGCACTTGTGAGAAGACTGGCATGTTCCGTTGACTGAAAGCTTAGTTTCTCAGTCTTTCATCGAGTTGCGTTACCGTTTCCTCAATTTGCGCAGCTCCATTCAGTAACATGTGTTCAACTCAGGCTGATAACAATTCTCCGAAATTCCGGTTGCGTTGCGGTTGCCAGTTTCCTTGGTGTGCCCGCGTCCTATGAGTGTTTAAAAAAATATTGCAAATACTTCAGGGCGATTAGCAAAAATTGAACGGCCGAACCCATTATAAAACTGGCAGTACCAATTGGTCAAGGTGCATATAAGCTTCAATATCGTGGTTGAAATTGTATTCGTGTTATATTACAACAAGCATATGACCCATCAAGGAGGATTACTTACTCACGGAGCTGAGACCTTCTGGAGGAGCCGCCAATTCTGCATCTACTGAAGAATTTCCCAGCATCAGAGTTTCATTACCGTGTTCATAAGAGCCCTCCACTGGTCCCTATCCTGAGCTAGATCAATCCAATCCTTGCCATCCCATCCTATCTCTCTAAGACCCATTTTAATATTGTCCACCCACCTACGCCTTGATCTTCCCAGTGGTCTCTTTCCTTCTGGCTTTCCCACCAATATCCTATACGCATTCCTCGTCTCCCCCATTCGTGCTACATGCCCTGCCCATCAAGGAGGATGAACAAAATAATTTATTTCTTCCTTTCATTTATCCATCCCATCCTAATTCTTCTCTTCCTCTCTTCCTTTTTCTTCTTCATACTAAATCAGTGCCCTCGCCACTACTCTTCCGTTCCTTTTTCCTTTCAACTCCTCGTCTTCTCTCCTCGGTATTCCTCTTCATCCCTTACATTTGCCCGTCTTATTGTCACTCCTCCTTCCTTTCTTCTATCCCTTCATATTCAAACAGTTCCGCTTATGGGACGCATGGAACATTCCGCTCATAGCCTTGTCTAAATCATAGTTCATTATAGATTCATAACCCTACGGCTGGGCCGGTCACTGTAGCCGAGCGGTATAAGGCATGCACTGTCTTCGCTCGCTCGGAAGCCGGGATTGTGGGTTCGAATCCCACTCAGGGCATGGATGTTTGTGTGCGTTTTTCTGTGTTTGTCTACAAGTAGAGGCCTTGCGACGAGCTGATCACTCGCTCAAGGAGTCCTACCGAATGTGTAAGATCTAGTAAACCGAAGTGAAACGGAGAGTTTCATGGAGGTAGGCCTAGGCCAAAATTGGGGCTGTAGCGCTACAGGAAAAAAAAAAGCCTATGGCTGGAGATCGGAACTTTTATTGATATCTCCTATCAAGTTTCAAGGAAATCTATCGATCGGTTTAGAGGATGATAATAGGCGACAGGCACAGACACGAATATATACGTGTATATATAATGTATAACTTCCATCACACGAGGCCATCCTCTTGCCTACTTTGGAAGAAAACTTTGAAACGAGGGAATTCCTCAGTAGAGGTAATTCTATCCCTGTAACAGGTCGTGAAGACCAGCGAAGGCCCATAGCGTTGTGAGAGGCTTCCACATTTCCTCTAGACCAGGCATGTCCAACGCGTCGATCGCGAGACGATTTTTGGTCGGTCTCATAGGCCTCTAAGGAAATTATACGTGAAAAGCATGCAAATTCACTTGTAATATAAGATGATTATATTCAGATTTTGAATGGAAAATACGTATCAAAGTAGTCTGTACTTTCAATGTATGTTGCTTTTACAACAAACATCATATGTCGTGTTATTTTTACCAATATTTTTGCTTAAAGCGAGGTACGACGATAGGAGGGGGTGTTAGATCACTGGCAGTTTTGACACTAAAAAGTCGATCACAACCTGTTTGAAGTTGGACATGCCTACAGACAATCGACTCACAGACGGCCGTTTACACCCCAGGAAGAAACCTGGTACTCATTTCTGTTAGAGGCTGAGTCGACTCCAGGGCCATTGTGCGGCTGGAATGATTAGGTAAATTGAAAAAATCCACCTCTTAGGGTCTCGAACCCGCGATCTTCCGGCTTGTAGCATAGTGCCCCCAACCCTCAGTAGAAGTAATTTGGTTTTAAGAATAGCTTCTAGACATAAAGGTACTCTGGAGAAGCCTCTCCTGGAAGAAGAATGTGGCATGTAGTCATCATGTGTGTGTGTGTGTGTGTTTATACATATATAAACTTGATTTCGCGTGGCTTGCATGGAACGAAATCTCTGGATTACCTGTAGTCCGCCAAGGATTCGAAGCAGATACCTACTGAATACCGCTGAATACTATATACTTCATGGTGTCCAGTGTGAAACATTAAGAAGACGAAGAATAAATGGCGGAGGGAGAACTAAAGGAGGAGAGGAAGGTAAGGAAAGAGAGGAAGTAAAAAAATAAGAGAGAATTATTTGTAAGCTACTTGAAGCTCATTCGTCTGGGTCACTCCACCATATACAGTTAAACAGTTTGTAAATAAATGTGACATGAATTTCTTCATGGGAGATTTTCTTAAACCTGTTCTCACGTTCCAACTCCCTGGGACAAATCTGACTTCGCAGGAGTTGTGCTTCTCACAGCACTGCTGTATGTTATTTGATCTGCAGAAACGGATGGACTGGCGATAACCAACCTGACACCAGCTTGCAGCAGTGCGAGAGGATGGAAGGAGGGTTGTATGCCAGCACCCGGGCTAGTCGTTCGCTTGCTCTGCTTAGTTCGCTGTCTCTAGATTTGTTTCTATGCAAGGGTCCGTCCAGTGGCGGACGTTTCGTAGACAACATTTTCCTTTTATTGCTAGTGGGGTGGGACTAAGTTCCTTTTACTGCGGCCACTTCTGGCCTATTGTACCAGCCCTAGATGATAGGTGAGGGTGATTGTGGAGCAATTGGTGGAATGAAGATTGGCAGGGGAAACCGAAGTACTCGGAGAAAACCTGCCCCAGCGCCACTTTGTCCACCACAAACCCCACTTGACCAGATCCCGGGATCGAACCCGGGCCGCCGCGGTGGGAAGCCAGCGACTAGCCGCTTGAGCTATGGCGCGACCCTAGAGAACACTATACACTGCCCCGTTTAGCCTACTTTCCTTGTTCTTAAAAAGGAAAAATGAATTAGGCATATGCGATCTCCATGCTGTCTGTGTATCCCCCACCCCCATCAGCTTCTGAATGGCTGAACCAATGTTTATGAAACCTGGTGTGTGTATATCATGGCACGTGAGCTCATTTCAGCGGCAGACTTCATGAATCCCTCCATCCTGTCTGTGTGTCTACATGTGTGGCCCTCCTGTCTGGCTATTTTATTTTTATTTCATTTATTTGTGATTTGTTAAATGAAGCCACCACTAACTCAGAACTTTTAGGGTCAAATGATCGAATTACATCGATTCGTGATCTGAAAAAGATTACAGATGCCACCAAACCGACATTTTCATGGAGGAACTGAGGAAATCCAGGGAAAATATAATTCAGGATGGGCAATGTTCCGGCCTCAATTCGAACCGAGCACTTCTCGAATACAACTCAGAAGCGTTACCGACTGAGCCACCTTGCTCGAGTCCTCACTTCATCAACTAGACCATCACTAATAGAAGAACGATGTGTCTAATAAAGTTTAGTATTGATTATAGGAGCATAAAGCTATTAAAACATATTACAAAACAGATACATATTACTTATGCATCCCCGAACATTCCTGAACTACAAATCAGGGCAAGAAGGCGTATAGAGCACATAAAGGCAAAACTCCATTCATTCCTCATCACAACACACATATTCAGGTCGAGTGTCCAGCTTCAGGCTCCGGTCCTTCATCTCCAACGAAATATATTCTTGTTTGTTCATTCCATTGCTTTATGACGCTGTGGTCTAGTTACTTGCCACCTCCATATATTTATATTACATTCGGCAGGCTGATTGCAAATGATATATATGAGAGTATGTCGTATGGTCGTGGCCTACTTAGGCGCGTCCACATTACTCGTGCTCGTGCTCGTAAATCTTCGTCCGCACTACTTCAGTTGCTCGCCAGGCTTCGGCGCGCAAGAATCCGTATATTTACTCGTAGCGTGTATAGGCTGTAGTCGTATTTTAATTTATTGGCTATAGTTTTTAAATTAAAAATTAAAAATTTGCTTGTCTCGTGACTTGTCATATCGTCCACATTACTCGCGAGCATAGCGAGTCACACGAGCACGAGCACGAGTAATGTGGACGCGTCTAAAGGAACACCACTCAATCAGCATAACCGAGCTAGAGCTGGTGACGTCACCGATACGAAACAAGCCTGATAA